CATTATTATTTATTAATTGAAAAGGAAATTATAATGTGTTAAATGATATATTCCACCGTAATATGTTAACCAAGTTATGCATATAAAAGAAAAACTGAAATGTAACTTTTTTTTTTAACTTCAAATTTTACGTATAAAAACGAATTTGATATTGTGGCATTCTAAAATGTGATTGATTAATTTTTAATTTCTCTTTTTTTTTTATTCACTTGCACGCACTTTATGTAGAATTTTAAATTTGTCAGAATTCGTAACAAAATAATTCATAAAAAATAGTAATACAGTATACATTTTTAAGGAATCGCAAATAAATTTAACAGTGTAAAAAAAAAGGGTGAGCTTATGTAGTTTTATTATATACATTTTTTGTAGCAAATTCCACTAAACCATGCATTTGTCGGCATCTGAGGCGTTTAGTATTAACAATTAAGAATAAAGAAAAATGTTCCTCCTTTTCATGGATTCTTAAAGATAACGAATAATTTGACATTCACAAAAATACGAAGGACAAGTTCTCAAGGAGGACACGTCGTGCTAAAGTAATGCAGGAAAATTCTTAATGGGAGGCTGTGATGATCTTGACAGCACTTAAGGGTTTTCTACTTTCTGAAGTGTTTTTTTAGTAAGGCATGATAGTGTTTGTCGAATGTTTATCGTGATTAATGCGTAATTTTATTTGTATAATACATTTTATTTTAAAATCTCTTATTTGTGTAAAATATATTAACAATAATCAACATAATAAATAATATGTTCAATTCAATAATTTAAGTTAATCATGTATGTCTTTACTCGTCTTGTACAACTAACTAGGATTGGGTTTTAGACAAAGCTACAGAATATGCCGTGTTGTTTTGTCATCACTAAATTGTTATCTAATAAAAAAATTAAGTGGAATTGATGTCCCATGTATTGAGATATCATGTGGCGCCTTTTCAAGTTGTTTAAAATAGGAGTGTGCCTGGATAATATTATGTAATTTTAACTTAGATATTTTATAAATTAATTTTAAATTAATGATCAGTAAAAATTTATTTTTTATACTTGTTATTTTTAAAAAATTAAATCTTTCTATTTAATAATTAAGATCTATTAAGATTTATTTAGAAATTGATACATTCTTAGCGTGATTTCGTATCTTAGCACATGCTCGTTATTTTAAGGAAAATTATCTGTTCTTACTTGTTTTTTTGTGTGTAAAGTAGTAGAAGAAATAAAAAATAAGAAAAAATAAATACAATTGATAATACGATAAAATAAAATATAATTTATTAATATTATTAAGTACTTATAATTAACACCGTTTAAACAATACTAGCTCAGTCTTAGTTATCTAATGTTACCAATGTCACGTGAAGACTCAATGACATCAACGTAATGTCATATTTAACATTTTGATAGAGCACTTTTCTTTTCCTATTTAAGTTACCTACCATCATATAACATTAATGTTGAGTGTTAATGGTGACATCACTAAAATTAACCTTAAACATTATATATTTTTTAAAATAAAAAGAATTATATGAAGCTTATAAAAAAATTATTCTATTAAATTTTAAATTTAAATTATAATACATTAATAGTAAAAAAATATTCATGCCATGGTTTAATTACAGGTATTAATTTTTATAAATATTATTTTAAATATTATATTTTTAATAAATTTTACTAGTTGATAGTGTAATTTTGTATATTAACCATGTATTCAAATTTAATTTTTAAAATTATATTATCCTATTAGTTTAATTTTCTTATTTTAAAAAGTATCAAATTAAAGTTATCTATTAAAAAGATAATATTTTCCTCACTTCCTTTTCAATTAAAACCTAACTTTAAGGGAATATTTTTTTATATAAAATTTTTAGGGAATGAAATAATGTTTTGTTTTAAAATAAATAAAGTTGTTGAACTTACTATTTTTTTATAGTTGACATGTATTTATTAAAAAAAATGTTTAAAAAATATTTATTATGTATAATACTCTTTCCTGTTATTTTTATAAGTAATAAATTGAACTTTTTTTTTCATTATTATAAAAAGAAACAAATGATAAATTCAAGATGCATTAATTGTTAAATTTCTCTTATATTTTTTTTATTAGTATTATTAAATATACAAATTAGTAATTATACTATTTAATATTATATATATTTTTAAAATAAAATTTATATTTTAAAAAATATAATATAATTAATTGCTTTCTTTAATTTTGTTGATTTAATTTTTTGTTTTTTATAAAAATGACCGAAAGGAATAATTTTTAATTTTTGAAGATTTTGTTTTCTAAGAGTTAAATTTCATAAAAACTTGATTTTTTTTTTTTCAAAATGTTAAACATATGTTTGATATGCCTAAAATATGACATGATATTTTGTATATTTTTCTAGCTCCGAATATAACCTATAATAATTTAGAAAACACAGTCCTTGTATTGAATAAAGTTCACACAACATTAAAATAGAAAGCAGAATTAAAACCAGTTTTTCTAGCACAATTAAAATATATATATATATATATATATATATATATATATATATATATATATATATAATCTTCACATCCAATTTATAAAGAATAAATCAATATGTTAACGTTTGAAAAAAAAACGCATTTATACTAATTTGGTCTACGAAGGATAAATGACATAATTTATTATTGAAAGATAGAAAACGACATAATTTAGTCTCACCGACAATCTAAAGTAACATTTTTTATACGCATTATCTTTTCATTTTGTGATGTATTTCTTAAGGGTTTATACAAAAAAATAAAAGAAATTTTTTATTTAGTTAAATAATTAACTAAAAGATGTTTTTAGTATTTTAGTTACTGGAATCAATGTTTAAACTTATTCAATCAACAACAAACACAACAAATTTTGTGCAAATTATAAAAACAATTAAACTAAGATTTATATTGTAAAATTAAAAATCTAAAATTGAAACATTATTTGCTCAAATAATTTCTTTTACATTTTAAATGTGTTTACAAACATTCATAGTATACAAAATAATTATTAGTCACAGTAATATTGCAGTTTATATAAATATAAAGGATTTGAATGTCAAATTTCATAATTGAGAAATTAGATTGGCATGGCATCCTAATAAAAAACCAAATTAATCCAAATCCAATAATGTGATACCCAAACTGGATATTTCTTAATATATAAGGAATTTATGTTACAGAGTATTAAAAAGCAATTAAGTACAAAACACAAACATAAATTAATTCATGAATTAGCCTGTGGTTAAAAGTAGTCATTTTATTTAATTTTTGAAAAGAAAAACTATGAATGTTATGGTAGAGGTGTGGCTAAAAGGTAAATGGCTTTAAACGCACGTGATAATGTTAAAACAAAAACGACAATTCACAAGACAACTGTCAACTGGTGACGGCAGATTTTACCACAGCTAGAAACTATGAAGCCATAAATGTGCCAATTTAATAACATAATTATCAATTCCATAATGTTGACAATTGTAGACATGGGTATTCATGGAACTTCGTTAGCTATGTACCATGTACCTTCATTTTAAGTATATTAATACCAATATTATTATATTATTTCTGCATGGGGAAAGATCTTGACCTCGTTTTGTTGTCTAATGCACAAAATACTGAAATATTCCCTGATTTTATTTATTTCCTTTCTCATTGTTGAAACTCAGCTTGGACCATTTTAAGAGATGAGGCAAATGATTGATTTAACTCGGTGAAAACAAAACATGCAATGTTTTTTTTTTTTGTATTTTTTATATTAATTATCCAACAATATATTTAGGATTTAAATGTTTTCGGTTGTAAATATCTTTTTTGAATTTGAGATTTGTACATATTTTGGAATTTCGAAAATTCTTTGCTTGCTCGATAACGTATAGACATAGAGAAATACGTATGTATTATTTTCTAAACAACACAATAATTATATATTTATTTTATTGTTAGTGTATTGTTGACTCTGAAACCATCCGTGTAGAAAGGTTCGGTCTATGTTTTTCTTGTCCACATCCACACACCTTTCTCGTGTCCACGACCACTGAAAAACTGGAGGGAGTGATGGCTAAATTAAAAACATATTTTGTTAACATTAATAAATGGTATATTATTATTTTTATATATTTGTTTAAAGAATATTTTTATTTATTTGCTTATAAAAAATTTATAATCATTATTCTTTTATTACTATTAAATATGTCTATCTATAAGATTTATATTATTTGAATAGTCAAACAGTTAAAAAATTATTATTTTAACAATTAATTTCAACACTACATTAATTTATTTTAATTTTTTATACTTATAATTTATTGTCTTTAAACAGATAAATAAAATTAGAGATTATATAAGAAAATATTTTATATTTTTAATTAAAAATTACAACATATCATAGAATCAAATATATTAGTAATGTTAAATATTATTTATTATTATATTTCCTCAGTACATGTTAAAAATGTCGTTATAATTTTACCTTCAACATCTCTTTCATTTATAAAAAAAAACTTAATTTGTCTCTGCATTAAAGGTTAGTAAAATATAAATATAAAAAAATTCTTAATTTAAGAAGATAAATATTACTTTAAATATATAATATAATTTAGCAGAGGTGAGATCTTTTTTATCAGATTAATTAAATTTATATTGAAAAAAAATCAAAAGAAGTAAAATTGCTTTAATAATTAATTTATACGCTTGAAAGGCATATGTTTGTGCTTTATCGTGAAGAGATACTACAAAAGAAAGTTATAAGAAAACTTGAAAAAAGAAGCAAATGGGTGAATTAATTTTGTTGACAAAAAAAGGAGAAACAGGAGCAACAGTGAGTCACGCAGTGAGGGACTCTCGAAATTGGGTGATTGCTGGGAGTAAAGGTAGATTCTCTTGGTTGGTGAGGGTAGAAAGAGAGGACCCAAGTTTACCTTTGAGGTTGTCGGTGGTCACAGAAGAAAAATAAAACAAAAAACAAAAAATAAAAAGGGTGGCTAATGAAAAAGGCAATTGCAAAATTGCATTGCAAATGGCAACAACGGTCTCATCTACCTCCGTGAGTATGAGCATTGAACACCTGTGACCCTTCTCTTCTTTCTTCGTGATTCTCACCTTTGTTAACGTAAAAATCCTAACTTTGTTACCTTTATCTATTGGGGTCCCCTTGAAAAAGACGCCACCTCTCATCATTATTCAATTCGGTCACCAAGGCCAGGTGTCCATGTGAACTCCCTTTACTCTCTCTCTCTCTCTCTCTCTCTCTCTCCCTCTCTCCCTATATTCACTTCACAATCCTCCAAACAACATATACGTTCATATATATATAAAAGGATCATTATGGTGATGGGGTTTGTTCACTTCTCTCTTTTCCTTCCCCTTCTTCTTCTTCATCTGCATTAGTTCACACTTCTGAGGGGGCAAAAGGGGTCACTTTCCAGATCCGAGGTCCAGCTCCTCTACCCATGATTATGGAGCTTGGGTACCCTTCTAGAGGAGTAACACTTGTTACTTTCTCTCTGTTGCTTTTCACAATAGTTTTCTTCACTACTTTAACTCATGCCATGTCTTCTTCTGTGTATCCGGTAAGTTAAGTTATTTATTTATTTTTCTTCATTTTTTTGTGGCATGCCCTTCCTAGCTTCATCTGTTGGTCATGGAAAGTTTTTCCTATTTCTAATTTTGGTGGAACAGGAGTGTTTTTTCCTGGCAACTTTTTCTTTGTCAATAACGCTTATTTTTTTATTCTTCAACTTTTTCATCCGTATGTGTATTTAATCACTGTTCATGGAACTGAGTCCTCATCTTGTGTATTGTGTTGTTCTTTTTTGTTTTGTAGTTATTTGCTGATTGTCGGTGATATTTGAGTTGCATACTGAAGTTTATTTTAGAAATTGGAGTTTGATCACTCTTTATTTATTATTTATTTGTGGGAGTGGGGGAAAAAAAATCTTGTGTTCAGGTTTGAATTTAGTGTTTAAGAAGAAAAATAAAAGTCGAAGTTGCTGGCGTTTTGATGTTCTTCGTTTTGATGAACGTATTGGCTGCTTGAAGGAACACATGTGAAGGTTTAATGTACTAGTTAATGGATTCAATTGGCTTGGTTTGGTTGGTTGAACTCGTCTAACTAATTTAGAGGCTATTAATTGTAGATCACAGGTTTCAGTACACGCGTTTTTCATTTTTTCGAAGATTCTTTGTCGTTTCTCGTTAGAAATTTCAGCAAATCCAAATTGAAAAAAGGGAAATGTTAAGCATCTAAAAATGTTAACTTTTTATTAGGAAAAAATTATTGTATTACATGAAAAATCATCAAAAATATAAAAGTGTGATAAATAATTTTTTTCTAATAAACAGTTACTATTTTAAGATACTTATCAGCCCTAAGGAATGATGCCAACAAAACCTTAAATAAAGCAAATTATTATTTGACTGAATTCCATAATGCTCGGTTGGTTTATGGGCTTTCTGAGTGATATAACATTTAATTATTCTACTGTTTATGTTTACTAGTTTGCTTGCCTTGTAAGAGTCCCTTAATTCGTACGATCTGTAATTTATTATGCCACTAGAATGATCATCATATCAGGGATGAACCAGACTCCAGAACATAATTATATTCATGCTGTGCAGTTCCTAGTTTTTCTTTGTTACCTGAATGTGTCATTATTTAATAATTTATTGGTGTCTAGTGCCTTAAACTTAGCAACTTACTATATGCAGGAATATAATCCTATTAAACCTAGGCACTCACGACTTCTCAGGAGTGCCGTGCAACGTGAAACTGTAAGAATTCATTGACCAGTGAATGCATTTCGAATGACTTTTACTGGCATGTGTTAGCAGTGGTTGCTCATTTTATATTGTTTTATTATTTTCTCCTTGTGTAGCCAACATCACAGCTCTCTGAGCTATGGTCACCTCTCGAAAGCCAAGCATGGAAACGGAACGTTGAATCCAGAAATAAGCCAAGTAGGGGGAATTAGTATAATTGATTTTATGTTGTTGTATGTATCTTTAGCAACACTTGACATTTTGGTATATCTACCGATTCATTTAATCTTTCTGTGACTGGCACTTGAATTAAAGCAGCATTACCAGAGAAGTCCGAGGGATACATCCAGGTATTTCTTGATGGAGGTTTGAACCAACAGAGGATGGGGGTAGGTATTTAAACGTGTGAATTAGATTATAAGTTTTCTCATGTTTTTGCATGAAAGACGTATAATTTGTATTTAGTGTTTCATTATTTTGTGCAGATATGTGATGCAGTTGCCGTTGCAAAGATACTGAATGCAACTCTAGTGATTCCATATCTTGAATTAAATCCTGTGTGGAGAGATTCAAGGTAATTGCAGAAAGGATCATTGCATTTTGTTACTTTTTTTGTCCGATGGATTGTATGTAATGAATGTTGTGTTTGCATATTTTTCTCTGCAGCTCCTTCACAGATATATTTGATGTGGATCATTTCATTGATGTATTGAAGGATGATATTTCTATAGTTAAAGAGCTGCCTGAAGAGTACTCCTGGAGCACAAGGGAGTTCTATGCCATGGCTATTCGAGAAACACGTATCAAGGCTGCACCTGTGCATGCATCAGCCAACTGGTACCTGGAAAATGTTTTGCCTGTCCTACAGAGGTTGGTATTTACCTGAATCTGTTGCTTAAAATGCTTATGTATGATATGAAAGTTCAGGCCCAATTGTTATGATAGTTGATTCAATGATGAAGCTGGACCATTTTAGTTCACAATTGCAACTACTTCAGCATTGATTATGTAACATAATCAAACAGAGAACCTCTGCTGAACACGGTTTGGAAGATTATCACTTCTAAAATGATGTTTATAATCATTTGATTTTTGAATGTAGTATGCAGCGTGGTAACAACCATCATTTTTGTATGGTGCTCAAATTATTTTTCAAAAATAAAACAAGGTTGAGGTGGGCAGTTGTAATTTTCTAAGTTTGAATAAATGTATAACTGCTCTAGCTATGTTGCAATACTTTTCTCTGCTTGATATTAAAACTACAGTATAAAATACCTCTTGTTATTTTTCAAAAGTAACAAATTACTGCCCTAATTAGATTTATGAACTAAGAGTATGTTTGGCTTTGGATTAATTTTTAGGGAAAAATCTTTTTTTTTCAAGTTCTCTATGTAAACGTTGATTATAAGCTGGTTTGAACGTAAAGCATTTACTGTTGCCCCCTCCACACCCAAATAATAGCTTCTTAGTTTTTTTTTTTTTTTTTTTTTTTTGTTAACTAGTAAAATGTGCTACTTACTTGTTTGTTGTTGATTTTTATTCTCTTGAAATTTTGTATAATTTGGGAGAAATAATGTCAAACAGATGAGTTGTAGCAAACCATATAAGAAAATCATTCAGTTTTACATCTGAATCTTTTCCTTTCTGAGGATTCTAGCATGTCATGGAAATCTTTTTGGGGGTAGTGAATCCAAGCATTCTCCAAAGCTGCTCTTCATATATGATCCAAAGATGTGATGATATGTGAATGATTCGTGTTCTGTCTTGGGTACATTTTCAGAATGTAAAACAGTCTTGGTTGTGGAGTATTGTACTATTGTAGTCTTGGTTTATTTGTGAAGATATGATTGAATTTAAGGTGTATATTGTACTGATGTCATCATAGTATATTCTCTGAATTATGAACTTGTAATAACCAATTATGTTTTCTTTGGTGCAGTTATGGTATTGCTGCAATCTCTCCATTTTCTCACCGACTGACTTTTGACAACTTGCCTACGTATATTCAACACCTGCGCTGCAAAGTCAACTTTCAAGCTTTAATCTTTGTTCCTCATATCAGAACACTTGGAGATGCCCTTATCAGCCGCCTTCGCTATCCTCAAGGCTCAGCTGGGGAAACAGGTTCCAACTACCTTCAAGAGGTCACTGGTGCAGGTGTTAGTAAAAATGCAGGGAAATTTGTTGTTCTACACCTCCGATTTGACAAGGTAATGCTTGTTTCTGTATTTTTCTTGTTTTTATTTTGTGTAGCAACCATAGTTAAGTACTTTTGAGACACACCTTATATACAAGTCACAATATGTAAATTGGCACATTCATAAATCAGAATTATTCGTAGTTCACGATATAGGATAGAACATTTGAATGGAAGTTACACCATGGTGTTCAATTATTTCACATCTTCATGTATCCTTTTATTTGTGGAATTTGTATGTAAATTTATTAATCATGGTGCATAAAATGTTTTCTGGCAGGATATGGCAGCCCATTCAGCCTGTGATTTTGGTGGAGGAAAAGCTGAAAAATTGGCCCTTGCAAAGTATAGACAAGTGATTTGGCAGGGGAGGGTTCTAAATTCCCAATTTACTGATGAAGAGTTGAGGAGTCAGGGCCGTTGCCCAATGACTCCTGAAGAGGTTGGATTGTTGCTAGCAGCTCTGGGATTTGACAACAGCACTCGGTTATATCTTGCATCTCACAAGGTGATTAATCATGTTGCTTAGTTTGACACAGTATAGAATCATTCATTTAAATTAGTGCTTATGTTCTCTAAAATTAAGAAAATGATTATGTATTTTCCAGGTCTATGGTGGAGAAGCAAGGATTTCAACTTTGAGGCAATTATTTCCTTTGATGGAAGACAAAAAGAGCATTGCTTCATCTGACGAGCGATCTCAGATAAAAGGAAAAGCTTCTCTATTAGCAGCACTTGACTACTATGTTGGCTTGCATAGTGATATCTTCATCTCTGCTTCCCCAGGAAACATGCACAATGCATTGGTGAGTTGTGCCAGATGCTTTTTAGATGGCTCTAATTGGTTATTCTAGAATAATAATGATAATGGGCTTGAACTTATCCTTTCCATTTATTTCATGTTGACCCCAAAATAAATTTAGAATTCATTATGCGGTGCTTTAGGCCCATGTCAACAAAGGATATTAATGAATTTATCATTTGGAATTTTACTTAAAAAAGAAAAATTTACTTGAAACTGTTCGTTCAAATAAATGTCTTTGAATTGTGATTGAATAAATGTTTCTTGGGGTATTCTGATTGCTTTAAGAAAGCTTTTTGTTTTCAAAATTTAAATAAATATAATCACTATTTTTATTTTTTGAATTATAGCTGATAATTGATGTTTTGATTACGATAGGTTGGTCACCGCACTTACTTGAACTTAAAGACTATAAGGCCAAATATGGCATTGATGGGTCAGCTATTCCTGAATAAAACCATTGAGTGGTCAGAGTTTCAGCATGCAGTGGTTGAAGGTCACCAAAATAGACAAGGTCAATTCAGGCTGAGAAAGCCCAAACAGTCCATATATACATATCCAGCTCCTGATTGCATGTGCCAAGCTTAGTAGTATACTAAAAATATTATTCACGGATGAGTAGCCACTGTATTTTTATAGTTCGGTGTCTTATTATTTGACATTTGTATCTGGTGAAAATAAAAAGCATTTCCACTCTATTCATATGGGGTTTGTTATGATATGATGTTCTTGATAAGAGTGCTTGATAGTTGTATTGTGTGGGTGATGTATTTATCATATGATGGCATTCTTAGCAAGAGCAATATTATTTATAATTCAATAACAGGAGCCATTTTGCTGTTTTCCATTCAATTATTATAAATTAGGGGGTAATGTAGTTTTCACAGAAGTGATGTTACTTGAACTTGGATTAATTATATCATTCATCACTTTTGTAATGGCAATCAAACAAACAACTATGTTATTTGTTAGTTCACTACGTGTCTTGCGGATGTCACATGCGGCTAGCTATTGTCGGGTCTAGAGTTTGGATGTGTTTCAAAATGGATGGAATATTTGATATGAAGACTTATCTTTAGTGTTCATTTGGAAGCATTTTTGCCCCACTCTGATAACTATGTATTGTCGTCGTCTTAACTATTTTTCTGTTCATTGATTGTTTACGGCATTCATCCAATTGGTTAAAAACGATGTAGGAGTAATATTCATCAATTATTATTTTATTTACGTGTAAAGTACACGTTAAAATTTCAAAGACGTAGTTTAATATTTAAGTATGTCTTAATAGAGCATAAAGAGAATTTTGATTCAATATTATTTTTAAATTATAACTATTTATTATGTTAATAAACGATTGAATACGTGAATTAATTATTATAATTTAATATAAAGTTTTAAATAATATGTAGTTTTAAATTTGAGTTTCAATAAATATAATTATATTAAATAATTAGATGAAGAGTTTTGATTTCTACAACGATTTTATTAGAGAATAAATCACATTATGAAAATTTGATTATAAAAAAAATTAATTTAATTTTATGTTAAAAAGTTCTAAAACATAAATTATATATGATAAAAAAATATCATTTTAAAGAAAAAGATTTATATATAAATTTTATTAATTTTAAAAAGACATAACTATGTATTATGAAAAATATTGTAGAAGGTTTTAAAAAGAAAATAAAGTTAGTGTAACACATAGTCAAGATATATAAAATTGTATATCATAGAGTAATTATAAGTGTAAGAACTTTTAGAAGTGAATTAAGACTTTTTCTATAAGGATATATTTATATTAAGGTTTTGTTTTGAGTTTTTATTTGTTTAACTTAATCTTAAAAATACTTATAAAAATAACTTTTATATATATATATATATATATATATATATATAACATAGTCTTATTGAGAAATAAAAAAAATATTTACTTTAAACTTAAATTTTAGACTCATCCTTTTAAATTTAAAGAATTTTGCTTGAATAGAATTAAAATAAAGCATATATTGTAATTTTAACAAAAAATAATTATGCACTGAAAGTTAAAATTAGAGATAATGTAACATTACACTTCTCCAGGTTTAAGTATTTGGAATCAATACTACATAATGATAAAAAAAAAAGATATATTACTTATAGAATACAAGTTAAATAATTAAAATAAAAAAACATAAAAAAATATTTATAATTGTAAAATACCTATTAAGCAATAAAAATAAAAATAAAATTATGATAATACTGTGTAACTAACTATTCTATATAACAGTGAACATTAAATTTTAAAGAAACATTACAAAAATAAGAATACTAAAATGAATGAATGAAATAGAATAAAAATTATGTATGAAAATAATATTAGAATAATACCTATTATAAAAAAATAACAAAATTAAGATGGTTTGAACACGTTATTAAAAACATCATAAAAGAACAAATAACTTTTAATTCGATAAAAATGAATAGAAAGAAATTTAAAAGAATTTTACAAAAAAAATTATTAAAAGACTTAACGTCTAATAATATTTTAAAGAATTTAATTTTTAATTAATCGTATGATTCATATAATAAGTGAGATAAAGATTAGTTCTCCTAGTATAAAATTCTACAATGATTTGACAAATACAATCAAATCATAGAGCAAATTCCCCTTTTCTACGTACTGCTGTAACAGCAGAATTAATGAAAAGTTATAACAGCTCGAGACTTTTGTAAGAAGGGGTGTATGACACAATAAGTGATTATATTTACAGTTTCTACGGGTGGGAAACTAGATCAAAGTCAGTAGGGTACTGGACTGGGAACTCAGAGCCTTAACTCACTGTTGACTAAATATTTCACTTGGAGCTACAATATTACTTGTCATTCCCATCTGGTGCCTTTGGAGATCCATTTCCACCCTGGCATGCAGTCATTTCCTTTGCCTCTCGAGGTGTCACATTGTCAATTTCTTCATCAATGGGAAGGGTCCTCTTTGATCCCTCCAATGCAACACCTAGTACTATGTTGTCCTCAAGAACAGGCCTGGATGCAGCAGGTTTCCTTTCCCCTTGCTGTTTTGTTGGCATATTCATAGGAACTCCACCAGCTTTGTCGGCAATGCTAGTTGATGATGTGGAAACTACATTTTCAGAGTCAATGCTTGGCTCGATGTTTTTAATGGTCTTACCCTTGGATTGTTTAACATGAATGTCCTTCTGAGCTGAATTATCCGATGCTACTAAATCAGTTGCTTTGGAATTAGAGGAAATTTCTGGCACCTCCCCATTTGCATTGTTTGAATCTGATTTCAGTGGCTTGTTTTCAACCAAATCAGGATCAGGTCTGGGTGTCACAACCGTCCCAGAGTTTTGATTTGCGTCAGAGTTAGAAGTCACAACTTTGGTATCCGCCTCAGAGTCGTCTTGGGTTCCTCCTCTGACCCTGGTGTCTGCTTCTCCTATTGATGCAACCTTGGTGTCAAGTTTGGTTCGCATGGTTGTCTTGTTATCTTGATCAACAGCTGCTCGTGCTGATCGAGCTTTCATCTTATCATCTGTATTGATTTTGTAAGGTGATTCAATCACTAACAACGGACGGTTAGATACTGCTCCAGTGCCACGACTAAATGTGGAATCTGCAAATGGTATGTTCTCCAAGTCAGCATCACTGTATATTTTCTGCAGGGTACGGACAGGTGTTGCAAGCCGAGCTCGGTGGTGGCCAATAACTCTAAGAAGATCCAATAGTATAGCTTCCTATTTTTCAAAATCCAATGGATGGAAAATTAGTAAAATACTTGAATAATATCACTAAGTACAAAGAAATCCTATGGACCAAGAACTAGTTTATGAGATGTTTATCTCACACAGCAGTTGAAAATTAAAGCAGATGGAGTATCAACAAAAATATAAACTGCTAACCAAAATTAAGATCATTCAGTTAATGTCATCAAAATTGTTTAACCCACATTTTAAAAATTATTAATTATCTACAAAAATTTCAAGCATCTGATACAAGATTGATAATCAAGGCTATTTTTAGCAGCCAAGTGATTTGTATTCTAAAACTCCCAAAGTTCTAGAGAGAAAATGCCAAGGTTAGAGTCTACAGGTCCTGAACCATCAAAACAATTCTAACTCAATAGTGCAGGATGTCATCAAACACATCAAATATCCAGTTGAATACATATTGGACAATTATGTGGAACTGCCAGATACTAAAAGTAATATTATCTTTCACAGCCCAACATCTGTCTATCTCTAACATACTGTAGAAGTAGAACATCTGTCCGTGCAAAAATATGTTTGCAACAAGTTTTCGGGTGTTTTTGATCATGAATAGCAAGTTAAAATATGATAGGACCCATGACACGAATGAAAGATGTGGAAGCTTAAATAGCAGTAGAGGAATAGAAGAAAAATCCATTCTAAGATGTTGGCATAGGAGAACCAAGCATTAGCTTAGTTGTAAAAGGGAAACCCTCGGAAGGAGTATTCTCTCCTTTTCTCAGTTTGTCATTCAGCTTATCATCATAGATGTGTTCTTCCATTTTTTTCCTTCGATTTTTCAGCTCTCTCCAAAATCACAAATTCTGTTTCTGGCTTCATAACAATATAATTATAACATTTGGCTTCCCTCTCCCCTTTCATCAGTTACTGGAAAGATAATCTAAGAATTCCACTTTTGTATCTTGGAAGGCCACTTTTTATATTACATGCAAATTATGAGTTATGACTTTGAGGAAAGTATCACATGAAGCGTCATATTCTAGATAAATAAATAAAGTGTTCTTACCTTAACGCACAGATACTCTTCAAAATGTGAGGTCTTAACGAAACAAGACACCAGAATCTGTGCAAATCATAGAAAAGAAATGTAATTTTGTATATCAATATATAATGCTACCATTTAATTCTGTATATAAATATAAAACATGGGTCATAGTTCAGTTATATCCTGATTGATGAAAGTTCCAAACTGTCAAATGTATATGAAAATGTAATTGATCATGCTATATGCACATGTAATAGTAGCAGGTCTAAGTTTATTCACTTTCCTCCACCATAAGGATAGAATGTACTGTTCAAATGAGTGGTGTGAGTCCTTTACATTGATAAGGTTTTAGACACTAAACTGTATAGACTATCAACTCATTTGGTTTAAGCATTCATTAAGCTATTTTAAGGTTTAGAGATGAAAATGTTCAATTTACTGTATCTGGGGCAGTGAATACAGTATTAACAAAAATATCCTAAGTATTTAAACATAATATTATGAAACCTCAAACTAGATTAAATCATTAAAATTATATAAAGCATAACAGGAGGAAGAAAGTCTTGGTTTCATAAAGAAACTAAATTAACAAAAATGTTATTTAAGATCCCCATCAATAGCACAACATCATTGATTTGCAAGATTAACTACTTCATACTAACCAAAAGAGCCTGATTTTCAGGATTTATGTTGTCCAAAAACACTCTCCTGTGCAACCTCTGCTGCTCAACTTGAGGATTTTTGGCTAATACTTTCCGCATGTCAGCAACAATGTTCTGCGGAAGCATTAAACCATTTGTTATGTCATGGGAAAAATTGTCATAAAATGCTTGATATTGGTGAATTAACTGTAAACAACAAAACAATTTCTCACATTAATCTTATTTACATCCAAATGACTAATCGCTAGGTGGGTTTTGATTCGCCAATGTGTTTTTTGACTAAGGTTCCGCACGACATTCACTGTGAATTTGTGGTTTGGAATGTGAACAGCTTCACGATCTTCACCTCTAATAATTGTCGGTGACCACCAGCCAACATGCTGCATAGCGCAAAAACATCAATGCCCAAAAGAATGACTGAGGGATCTCAAAAGCATTACACCATATTTTGCAATTTCCTTCTTTTAAATTATTACATATAAAGAATGGCACATATTTAAAATAAAATATAGAACTCCCACGTCCAAAAGTTAAAAGGTGCAATTGAACACACCTCGACAGTACCAGAAACCTCATATCCTTCAATCTTTGTTTGAATCCATTCATTAACCACAAAAGGCCGAGTTGCATGAATCATCACGCTCGAAAGGAAGTTTGTAAATATCTAAATAGATAACATTTAACGTCAATGAGTGCCACAACATCATTGTTACCATTAAAATAAAAGGGAATTGGGATGATTGGAAGTAATAGTAAATCCCACACCTCACGACCGGCAAGGGTCAACAAAACTGTCCCAAGACCTCCTGCAGTAACCCATCTCTGGGTGGAGAAGCCCAGCAATTCCATGAACAATGAAAAGGCAGCAATCCATACCGCAGAATAAACAGTTTTGCCTGCAAATTGGAATCCCATCTGACGAAAACAGACAATTTATTATGTCATTGAAATTGAACCATAACTAATAAACAGGCAATACACCAAAATCCAGGTTTTTACTGTTATTATCTTCAATGCATGGCAGTGGCTAAGCAACTGGTCTGCCTTAAAAAATATATCATCTAAATACATGCAGTCATAATGATTTCTATTAGCCTACATACATGGAGAAGATATAGCTATCATATGTTCAGGCGCTCTCACTTCTACATGTTTTTCTGTAGATAAAAAATAATTTAGAGGATTGCTAAGCTTCACTATGTGTAAAACAAATTGATAGGGAGAAATGGTAAGTCCAAAAGCGGAAAATTTTCACACTATTTATTATATGGCTGGACAGCTATATTGCCCAACTTATGTCACTGGGTGGCTGACTGAGAAATCAATCTTCAATAGAGTCATAATTGCAATTAAAATTATGAAAGCCAATGGGTAATAGTCTAGATGGAATTGATAGTGTATTTATCAGATTCAAACTTCATATGACTATAATGTTAATTTTAGTTGTCAATACAAAAAGAAAAGATACAGACATTTCTCGCCTCACTTGCATCAGTGCCCTCTGCTAAGAATTTCTGCGCTTGTTGAATTACACTGCACAAGAGTATTGCACAATTAGTTTATGGAAGAAAACTTAGTCAGCACTGAAAATTTGAACAAAAAATCAGACTGAAGTACAAAAGCTGGTTACAACAATGACAATCCTGAAAATATTAGAGTTAAATGGTCCCATGATATATCAAATAAAAAGCAGTGAGACAATAAATATGTAAGGCATAAAATTTTTTCAAAACAATAGAAAATCAGACAAATTCTTCTCTAAATGAGGAAGAGAAAAGCCCAAAAAGCTCAAGCACTATGGGGCATCATTAAGTCACCCAAACATTTACAGTTTCAAGAGATCAAATGAAGGTAAGGAAATAGGCACACCTTGACAAACAATAGGCAAAGGCCAATACAGTTGACAATGATCTTACAAAATTCAAAAGCCGTTCTTTAACAACCTGACCAGATTCTGAAGGTAAAATTACTGGCTCCAATGCTCTGCAATTAGCTAAAACTTTAGTATGTGGAGAATTGGTGCATCAGAGAAAGATCTAATGTACGCATCCTCTGATAAAATAATTATTATCATAACAGAGAAACCTGCAAATAAGTATTGCTCCAGTCCATAACAGTAATGGCCGAATGTAGGAAGTTACTATATAATGAGTGGAGCTTTTCTTCCAACTATTATCACTCTTCTGCAAAACAGTGTGGAATATCAGACATAGGTATCAAAAGCATTGAATCAATTCGTACAAGGATGACAAATAGAATAACTGCAATATGACCTGAAAAAATAATTTCCTTGTCTGAAACAATAATGGACCTACACCCCACACTGCAAAAATGATGGTGCCAACTGCAGGAATCAACTTTACTAAGACAGGACTATTTTGTAACACATTACAAGACCTGCAGAAAAGGACATAAATGATAAATGTATAACAAAAAGAAATGTAGATTTCTTCAAGTTGTACACTTATTGGCTGTAAATCACAAAATTTACCTTGCCAACACTGTAGCAGCCACCTTAACAGCAGGAAGCTCACTTGGTTGGCCAGACACTAAAAAACAATGACACTTAAAAGAGCAGGATTTGCAAGATAATGTATGTGTTGTTCTGTTTATATGACGAAGGTGTTGAAAACCCCTGCAGTCCTGTTTCATGAACTGCAATAGAAGATTTTCTTACAGTATATTCTAATGAAAAGAAAATGGCTGTGCAATTTCTTAATTTTGAAAAGACATTATCAGATTATCATTAATATTATAAAGTAAACATTCAATATAGCAGAAACTGATAAAACGCTAATGAATAAGGGTCAATTTGGATCAAATGAATCAAACTTCTCATACAAGTTAAAATTAACTTATGCGTAGATGCACCTCAACTCTTTTAGTAGCTCCCTCATCTCACTAATTCATAAGCGCCTAAAAACTTAATAAAGCTCCGTATTCTTATGTTATAAAAGTCTTAATAGTAGGGATTTATAATTGAAAGCTCTCTCATAAGCTAGAAGCTAATCCAAACTAGGCCAAAGTCATTTATTGAAGTAAAAAGAAAACCTAAGATTTTAAGCGACACACAAAACCCTTTGGTATTATGTGCATAATAGATCAAAACTAATAAAATATTTCCTTAGACAAACAAATGATAAAAAACATGATATTGCATCAGAAGTCCGTAATTTAACAGGAACCACAATATGTCATGCTATAGTTTCACAACAATGCGATGAAAACTTTGGCACAAAATTACAGGTTCAGTTAATAGCATGCAACAATACAATATCAGTATGTTTTAAGAACGCACCGAAATGGGATATAAAGGACCTGCACTCAATAAATGTAAGTTGCCACATCCCGTCACCCTCTGTAAACCATATAGTGATATGAAAGTGAAAGTGAGAACAGAGGCAAAAACAATGAACCTTGGACAAAGAATACAGAACTAAAAGAAATTTCTGTACCGAATGGTTATTACAGCCCAGGTTCCTGCACAGTCCCAATCCATGGGACAACTGCAGGGAACTAGGAAGAGCCATTATTGTCTCAAAACAGGTATCCAAGAAGGTCTCACTAGCTGCTGAAGAACGTATAAATATAGTATTTCAGATTTTTGACACAATTCAATACGCTCTATAGAGATTAAGTGGTGCTGATAGACTTTAATAATCTTTCCGCTCAGCTTCCTGCAGTTCAACTGATTTTAATCGTGTGAACAACAAAGGTTAAGTATATCAAACGAGTACATATTTCTGAGCCTTAATTCCACAAAAAGAAATAGTAAAGCTCCTGAATGAGTGAAAGCAGCTCTTGAAGTAAGGCATCATAATTCATAACACTTAGAACAGAAACCCACATCTCTAATGATCTTACATATGAAGGAGCTTTAAGCGTACAAGTTTTAGGCCACCTAAAAAATTGATTCCCTAGCACCACCATACAACTTCGTATCAAAACCCTTTACACCTTAAAAATTAATAGAGCTTGGATTTTGTACTTCTACTTATTACATAAGTTGAATTGGGGAAATTGAGATATGATAATAAAATAATTGAAATTTGGAAGAATTGAAGAAAGGGTTGGTTACCTCTAACGGAGAAGAAGCAGTTGGGTCTGTCTCAAATCTTCCACGGTAAGAATGGTTTTTTGTCTCCCTGCTTCTACCGGGCGCAACGCACAGGAACACAACACAACAACACACCCTTTATTATTATTATTATTTAAATTGAAATTTGATTTTCTTGTGGGCCCGACCATATGCTTGCATTTGTGCGCCAGAAATTCTAATATATGTTGTAATGTCAGCCATGGTTTTGTTTTCCACGTGTCCTCTCACACTTGCACAATTCTACACTGCCTCTGCACCAACGGTCTCCCTTATTCTTATTTTTCTTTTGGAATAGATTAATACATTTTAGAGATAATAATTCTAATTGATTAATACATTTTGAAGATAATAATATCGCCTGCTGAGACGGTTAGATCTTGCAGTATCTTTGGTCCTATCCGTGGCTTTTCCTCTTACCCCCCCAAAAAAGAATAATATTTATTACATATTTAGTTTATCTTATTTTTAAAAAAATTAATGGTTATTATACTAGTTCTTTTTAAAAAAAGAGCTTAAAAAAATGTTAATAATTTATCTTAAAATACTGGTTGAAGAATACAAAATTTTAGAGAAAAGTAATATCCGTATGTTCTATTATGATTTCTAATATAACTTAATCATGATTTTCAATACGTGGTTTTTAATGCAATATTGTAAATTTTTTATTTATTAATTTGTTAATTACTTTTCTTAAAGTACTTATTTCTTCAAAGATTAATCTGTAAAATAATAGTATACTTAAAAAAATAAAAATAAAACACTAACCCAGCCAAACATGTAATGAATGAAATCAAGGATCAATAATTAATTCATAAGACCAGTTTGTATACATCCAAGTATACTGACTTGATGTGATATTGACTATTTATTAAGAATAAAGGAATTTTTTTTAGTTAAACAAATGAGTTTTGTATGTTTTGGAATGAAGTTAAGAAAAAGTTAAATATTTTCTTGTGATTAAAATTAAAAAGTACGAAAACGTTTTACAAACTGTAAAATTCTATGAAAGAGAAAAGGTTTTGTGAGTATAGATCAAAGGCTGGTGTATAATATACCTTGTATATGTCTCATGAGGGTGGAAAACATGGTTTCTATAAAATGTTGTAGGTGTAATTTGTTGAAGAATAGCATTGAAACCCAACAAAAAAATAATCCACAAGGTTTAACGAGTTTCATATACAACCTAGTAATGTTCATACTAAAAGCTGCATGACATTTTTGCTAAAATCTAAGAGATGCATATTCCATTCCTCTATCAAGCTAGAAAATATTTTCCCAATTGCAAATAATTGTTGGGCTCCTTTAATGGTGACCTTATATAAGAAAAGGTTTCAGGTTTCTTTATCCCTGTGGGAGAATGCATTATCATATTCTCTTTTACAAGCAAGTCATCATCCTTTTTAAAATTCATTCCTAGACAATCATTCTCAAAAGATTGCACTAAGCTTCTCAATGTATCCATTAGTTGAGTGTCTGCAGTAGTGCACTCACACATTTTATGACAATTTTCCCTTTCTGATGACAATCTTGTGGCATTTTCAAGCGAACTTCTATTCTCTAGCTTGATTTTTTGAAGAAAAGCATCTGAGCCTCTGAGCTTGTTCTCCATTTGATCAGTCAACTCCTTTATTTTTAACAGTTTTGCATCCATTTCTGCTTCAATATCCAATGCTAACTCTTTTGTTTGACTCCAGTTTTCCTCCTGCAATTTTAGTTTCTTTTCCATTTCATGGATATCATCCTCTAGTTCCTCTATCATCAATTTTTTCTCTTCAATTTCAAGCGCAGCTAGAACCTCAGCTGCTGTGATCATATCACAAGCTTCTTGGACCTGATTGATTTCAGCCTGTTTCTCAGCAAGCTGTGAAGAAACAGAGATCAACAAGCTAGTGTACTTTTGTTCCAGTGAATTCACCTGCTGCATGAGATCATCTGTTTTCATACTTTCTCCCTTTGTAAAATGCATAGGATTCTCTTTCTCAAGCTCATTGGTTATTTCCATGTTGTGGCCTTTTGCAATTACATCACTTTCAAGTTCTCTTCTAAATGATTCTTGTTCTAACCTAAGAATCACTTTTTGTAACTCCTCTAAAATCCTATCCTTCTCCTCTATGATTTGGAGATATCTCCCTTCAACAGGTTCATAGGACACAGCTGTTTCCTCACTTGCTGGAACAAAAGCTTTTGTTTCCTTTACTTTAGGTTCTTGTTCAAATAGGAAAACATGTTGCTTCAGATAATCTATTTTGTTCTCTTTCTCTTCCAACCTATAAACCAAGCTATCTATCTCAAGCTTGAGGCTTTCACTAAACTCTACTTGTGAAAGCAGTGATTTTTCCAGTTCTTTACGCATGACATGATTTTCTTCAAGATCATTTTTCAAATGTTTAACAAATGATTTCCATATTTGCAATTCGAACTCCATTTCACTTCTTTCACATATGGTCTCATCCAATTCAATATTTGCCCTCTCTAAAGCATCATAAACTTTCTTAAGTTCTTCTTTGAAACTAATTTCCATCTGCAAAACCTCCTCTTTGAGGAGAGATTGACACCTGGTTGATTCTTCCAGCATTTCCTTGTGCATGTCAAGTTCATTTTGTGGCAAATGCTGCAGTTCCTTGGTTAGTCCATAGAACTCAACCTGCCTCATCAAACATGCTGCTTTCTCATCACAATCTGATCCATGTTTGTCATTTGCGGCACTGAGACATTTGATGTTGGACTCTTTATAGTTTAAATTCACATTGAGACACTCATATATCTGCTTTGCTTCATTTATTTCTTCTGCCTTTTGAAGCAGTTCTTGATTCAGTTTCTCAACTTTGAAAATTGCTTTCTGTATGTGATTGGCCTGTGCATCATAGGATTTCTTCAAGTTCTGAAGTGAATTTGTCTTGTCTCTTAGTTCTACCTTCAATTTCTCAATTTCAGCTTTAGCTACTTCCAGTTCTTCATAAACGTCCATTGTTTAGTATTTTACACGTATGACATTCAAAAAACCTGTTTCCATGCAGTGAATAAAAAAAAGACAAGAAAAGCTACATGAACACAGAGAAAAACAAAGGAAAAAGAAAAGTAGAGACAAAAACGGAAAAACAATGCAGTTTACATATAAAAAAGAGACAGAGACGTTACAAACACATTGTTTGGTTTTCTTATCGTACGCCTTAAGCATAGGAAAAGGAACATCAGAAAGAATTATGGTATCATCAAGGCTACATACAATCCATCATTAGAAGCTAATAAAATATCAAATCTAATAATTCCCTCTACAACCTTGATTGATTCACCCTTAACATAGTGCTACCGTCATTTTCTATTTGTTTCCAAATTCCCATGTCTAATTTATTTGTTCGCATAGATGACATGGTACCCTCATAATTGGAAAAAATAAGTTTCATTTTCATCATTTGATTATATTTCATTTTACATAACATTGAACCATATATTCAGCATTAAACAATGGTTACATTACAATACAATAGCATGGCCTAAAATGTGTCAACATGTTAACCAGAAAAGTTAGAGGGTAAAAAAAAAAAAAAAAGGAAGCTAGTGAAACCCAGAAACTGACCTGAGTTTGAGGAGCAAAGTGTTGGGTAAAAATGGTGAACGGAAAATCGGAGAAAGAGAGAAATGGGGAGGTGGTGACTCCATATTACGTTTCATAACCAATAATAGAATACACTCTAACTGTTTTCCTAATCACAAATGATGGTGAATTAACCATTAATTATGTTTGAGAAAGTTTTTTCCAAGGCCCAACCCAAACTGTCATCTATCTTTTTTTGGGGCCAAAGTCTTTGCATCACCAACTAATTTGCTGATAGTTTGTATAGATTTACTAATACAGAAAAAAGAAGAGATTTTTGACCCAAAAAACGTGTGATTGAATATCTTTCATAAAAAATTACGATTTAATTATTCTATTACATGTCATTGAGTGATTCCCTTATTTTAAAATTCGATGAACCGAGAGTATATATAAGTTTCATCCGGGTGTGTAAAAATTAAAAATTTCAATGCTTTCATATCATATCGGGTTAAAGAGTAAGTTATGAAAGACAAAATTAACTAGGTTTATACCGATATATTTATTATACGAGGATACACTTACCTATTCTTATTATTCCAGTTCGCAGTCGCATAAAATGTTTTTTTTTTCTTTTAACTCTTTTGATCCCGTTCTTACATAAATAAAATGTCTCGCTGGTTAGAAAATTCATAGGTTGATTCGTGAGAACATATTCATTGTTGAAAACGTAGGTTTAAAATAAAAAATTTGCGTATGTTTATAGATATTGATATATTATTATGCGTATATAGTATAATTTGTTGTGAACTTGAGTTTATAATAGCATAACCCCTCTGATAAAGCCTGATCCTAGCTGAAATTGTCAATCCCTAGTGGTCCAGCATGCGAATTTACTACTTTGCTAAAGTCTGACACTACTCTCATAGTTGGATAGAAATCAACAAAATTGTGAATAATTTCTTGCAGGATTCAATCATGAGGACACTCGATTTTTGAAACCCTGAAATAATGGTAAATCCTCACCGAATAGTGTGTTTTTGTGATGCTGCCTAATTTTTAAGGGAAAGAGATTGCTTCACATGTATACTACATACACACAAAATTTTGATTGGAAAAGAAGAAAGAAATTTAAAAAGTAGCGATGTAAAAGGAGATGTGAAGAAAGGGAATGTGAAAATGCTAGAGATGTTTTTTAAACTCCATCATAAATTTTTACCTCTATTTTATTCATATTCTTTTTCATACAGGGAGTTAGAAGCTTAAATAAAATTAGGATATGCTTATGTAGGAAAAAAGCCTTCCTCTTTTCTTTCAACTCTCAGATCTCTGATCTAACTAAAATTGAGTATATGAGCTTTAGTTCTGCGGGTTGGTATGAAGAAGTTTGTAATTTAGTAGATTTTAGTCTAAAAATATGTGTCCCATTTAAATGCATGTTAGTTTGTATAACTCACAAATTCGTTGATCAACCCATTTAACCTATCACAAAATTAAAATATTATTTTTTAATATTTTAAAATAAAAATAATTCTTATATATACTCAAATTATTTTAAAATAAGAATAATGAAATATAAGTAAAAAACATTAATAAATAAAAAATCTAAAAATATATGGATCAACTTGTGAACTGACTCACCTGTTTAACCACAAACTTCAGAAAACTTATAAAATATAAGTTCGTTTAAATGCAACCTTATACAATTTGACCTGATTAACTACAAAACTTTTGCAGAATGAGACAGTGTAGGGGCTAGCTAACCTGTATAACCCACTCATAAACCTGTTTGTCAACTAGTGTTCATTCTTTATCTCTCCTTTCTCTTCCAATTTTATTCTACAAAGTAATTTTAATCATGGGTAGTTTTTCCATGTGGAGTAATTTATTTTCAGTTGTACTGTCCAAAATTTTCCAAGAACAACCCAAATAGACAAGGAGTTAAAACCTTTCTACATTAAGTTATATTGATTATACAATAAATTTATATAATGCTTTACAATATATTTTTTTCCATCAAATTAATAATCTTATCTCTCTCTCTTCTTTTTATCTCTCTCTGTTGGACAACTTTTATACAATTACAAATTCTCTTCTGAATTTCACAACAGAGAGTTGATAGGCTCTGCATAGAAAGGACAAAAGATGGATGATAGTGCCCAAACCAAGAAACCATGTTTAGGCACAAGGCACTACAGAGAATAGTTCACTACTCCGCACGCTTCCACAGCCCACAGCTACATGTAGCGGCTATTTTACATAGTTTGATGTGAGTAATTTACTAACCCAATTGTAACAAAAAGTGGCTATAAAAAAATTGGGACGACAAGTGACTACCTGAGTACTGAACACCATACAATGATACACATATACTTCTATCTGAAGTTGCCTTTTCTTTTACCAATATCTCTTCAACTCCCTTTTGGCTGCATTAACCCTCTTTCTTATTAGCCAAACATGCTCTTACATTTTGTCGTTTGTATAAATTCATATCACCCTTTTTTCACTGTTATTAAATCTACCATCTTTGGTATTACTCTTCCCCTCTAGGATATCCTTAGAATATAATTTAAAGGCTCTCTTTTCATATCATCCACGTAAACAAAAAATACAGTAACTAGTTGGTTTAGTCTCAACTTAACTCATGATGTATAATTGGAGAGAGAAAGAGGTTTTCCTTAATTTGCTCAATTCATGGAGCATATATAGTTCATGTATTATTCATATGAATCAGAAGATAGAAGCATAAAGACGAGCATCTAGCTACGACATTTAACCAGACGTGTAAGATGCTGAATTGGTGAGACACTGGGTCTCTTTTCAACGCAAGTTGCAAGCATATAAAGACGACAACATCATATAAGTACAAAATTCAGTGCTCCAACATTTTTGTCTTTTAAGGAGAGAACATAAAAGAAAAATCATAATGATCCAAATAAAGTCAGAAATCATTCAATATATTCCCATATGGTGGTCATAATCACCATCTTGTAATGCTTAATTTCTGCAGATTCTATAAACTACAACATATCAGTGTTACAGAATTGATCAACATTTTTTTGTTTAATCAATAATTTGAAATAAGTGTTAGTGAATTGATCAGTTGGGTAGATCATACATATATTATCATGAATTTATCCCACTATTGGTTGTCTTAGTGAGCTTTACAGGATTTTCAAAAGAAACACAATTTTTTCCTCTTTCCTATTGGTGGCTTTGTCTTGACGTTTAATTTTGTATTCCGAAATTTCAGCAAACATATAAGTATTCCACTTGTCCATGAGAAGTAACTCATATATTATGTAAATTCACAAGATCTCTCAAAAAAATCTAGCACTAACAAAGCTAAAGGAACTTATAGGAAAAAAAATAACAATTTGCTGAAGCAACAAGGAAAAAGAAAATAAATATCTTTCGTTTTGTCGTTTGGTGTCTAAGGCACATGGAGTGCCCAAGTGGGAAAGGTAAAGGGTTCACCTGCAAGTTAATTAACATGAGGTCAAGTACAAGTGGGTAGGTCTGTCCCACAACCATGTTTTGCCACAATGCAAGTGGCCACAATTTAAGTTAACAATTGTACTTTGCAGCCAATTTGATTAATTCAATTCATGTAAGCCTATATTGTGAAGATGCAATGAGGATAGTTGAAATTTGTGATCATGTATCATATGTTCTATCATGAACTAGTTAATCTACAGCTCATCAAAGGGAATGAAACAAAATTGAATGAAAAAGGTTTGAGCATCCTTAATCGTGTAAAAATGATTTTCCATACAAAGGTCAACGTCAGCAAAACCAGTGCATGGGATATAATGAAAAAATCTGGTATGAGTCAATGGGTAAATAGGACAGCATCAATATTTAAAAAAGCACAAAATCATTTAAAAATTAAATGAGATATGAGAAATAACTACACCTCGTAGGGAGGAACATCATTGAAGATAACCCATTTAATAATTTCAACTGTTCCAACCATGAATGCAACAGAGTTTGATTAATGAAAAGATTAATAAGAGAGCACGAGAAAATAGAGAAAATGGTAATATGATAACATGATTAGTCTGTGACTGAATGATGATATACTTTTGCCAATGAAATGGGAAATCGACCCTTTTAATATGTTATCACGAAAATTTGATGTTGCTTTTCCCAAAGAGTGATTGGCATGATTAATGATTAAGTTCATTTTACAACGTTTTTATTTTTCTTTTCAATCACCCGTGCATTATTCTCTAATATTCATCTTATATAGGTCCCAAGTCGGTCTTTAATAATCTTTTGAATTTGATTGAGGTTAATTGGGGATGGCTTTTAAAAATAAGATTAGAAAGTGAATCTACGATTCTTGGTGGGCTTAGTCAAGGCATTCTCAATAATTTGAGCAATATATTTTTTTAGTTCTAAAACTATCCTCTCGTTCTCCACTCAGAAAACTGCAAGAGCGAAAATCTCCAATACGTGATTTCATATTAAGTTAGACAACAACAGTAAATAATATAAAGTTTCTTGAAGCAATGGCATACCGTCAATTCAATTTTTTCTTTCTAGGCATAAACTTTTATATCATTTGTTTTTCTAGCATATGCAGCGCAATCTTGGTTTGGCGAAAAACCTAGTTAAGATAAAAAAACAAACAAACAAACAAAATGGTTATCTCTGCATACAATACATATAACAACCCACATACTTTGAAACACATCTCTTTCCACTATAATAAAGTCATAAAATTAGAGTGTGTTGACAAAATAAACATAGTTATAATTAAATTATATAAATATGAGATGGTGTAACAGGAAGTAATATATATGTGTATAGCATCGTTTAACATATATAAATTGTATCTGGTGAAACGATATAAATAAGTTAAGACTGAACGTCCCTTACTATTATGTATTTTTATTATGAGAACCTTACTTTATTTTTATAACTACACTTATTTATATGATATTAAAGTTCTCTCAATAAATAAATTTGGCACATATTTTTTTTAATTTTTCTTAATTTATTTACCTTGTTAAATTTTTATCTATTTCATGCATATATTTATTAACTTTTCATGTTTTCAATCCTTTAAATATTTTTTTTTTCATTTTCATTTGGTGAAAGAACTTTATAAATTAGCACAAGGATTTTTTAAAAATTTTCTATTTAAAAAATGTATAATTTAATCACCCCATTTAAATTAATTTTACCAACTTTTATTTTATTTCAGGTTTATTAAATTTTCATATTTCTAGCCTTTTAAAGTTTAAATTTTTGTCAGTTTTTAATAAAATTTTAAATAAATAGCAATGAAATATATTAATATTTAATAATTTATGAAAGTTTTATTTTATTAATATTAATTTTAAATAGAGAAAAATAAAATATACATATTCATATAATATTAATTAACTATTATGTTTAATTTGTTACATATAATATTCAAAATTTTCTTTTACTTTTTTTTATGTCATAAAAAGTTAAAAATTAGTTAAAGTAATAAACAAAAATAATTTTAGCAATTAATTTTTTTAAAATCCTATAGGAAAATTTTAGTAAAAAAAATATAATATATAAATGAATTATGAATAAAAGTTATAATTTGTACCGTGTATCACACGGGCATTTTATAGACGAACACTAATCATTATATTTAAACATCAAATCTCGCAACTGAATAATTTAAGGGTGTGTTTAGAGTTTCGTGGAGGAGACGACATGGACGAGATAGAAGGAAAAAGGGGGAAGAGAGGGAAGGTTTAGTGTGTGAATGTGTGAAACAAAAACCTAAATTGGGAGAAAGTGAGGAGTAAGGACTAGAGTTGTGTATATATACAATATTTAAAAAATTATTAATAAAATATATTATAATAAAAAATTAAATAAGTTTTATGATTATTATAAATAATTTATTTATATAAATATTTATTTTCAGTTTTTAGTACATATTATTTGATACCTAGTCACTATAAAAGTGTCAACTATTTTAGACTCAAAATTTAGGCATAATTAAAACTCTTCACTCATCCCTTGAAGTCATCCCTTCATGTAAATGAGTTAAATTATTCATGAATTATCAAATTTTGACTCAATAAATATTTATTTAAATTTATTTATTTAATTTAATAATCAAACTTTATTATAAAGTTAAATTAAATTATTTAAACGAGTTAAGCTCAGAATTTATAAGTGTAGTATTGATATTTTGTGAATAATTTATATAGATATGCATGCTTAAATAAATATAATTTTATTTATTACGTTTATTTAAAATTAAAATTTTAATTATATACATTTATAAACAATTGACCATAATTTTTTTAAAAGAAGTATACTATATTTATAATAAACAAATCACAGGACAATTTTCATGCAAATAAAATTATATTTTACAACTAGTTTATTTTACATTTAACTAAAAAAATCCATTGAGTACTAAATTAGTAAAAAAAAAATTCAGAGCTTATAAGAAAAATAAACAACTAATAAGTATAAATTTCAATATTTTTAATATATTAAACTTAATCTTAAATCGAACTCGTTTGATAAATTAACTTGAGCATTCAAATAGATATATATTTTTAAATAAAAAATATTTTTATTATATTTGTTCTCATTCAAATAATATATTATTTTCACTCTTTTTTTTTTCTTGAATAATTTTCTTGATTTCATCCATTATTCAAACATACCCAAACCCAAAGTATCCTGTTATCAGTGAAAATAACGTTAGCGAAACGGTAATGATCTAAATCTTATGAAGGGGGCAAAAGACAATCGAAGGAGCTCTTTCTAAGAAAATCCGATGAGAAAACAGTTTTTTTTTTTTTTTTGGGTACGTCAATGGTTGTCATCGTTTGGGCAATGCCATGTTTTTCAGATTACTTAATTCCCATATTCTATATGCTTTGAGTATTGAGTACTCCATCTCCATCCACACCCACCTCTCAGTTCATCCGTAGAAAAATATTATGACTGACTTCAATCGATTTCGTACAAGTTTGTGGGATCAAAATGGTAACCAATTAATCATCTTTCTTTTTCAACTTTGCCTTTTGTTTGTTTGTCTCATTGATTAAATCTTTTAACTTTTCATAATTAATTCATTTAATTCGAAATTAATTACTATAGTTAATTAGTGTTTAACTTTAGAAAGTTTATTATTTAAGTTAATTTTGCGTCAATGATTTATATAGGATTTTTTTCCAATTTAATAACTAAAAACTATACCATTTTTATATATAAATGGTAAAATGTATTCTGACATTGATGTCGTTAATTGGTCAAGGAGATTCCTTGTTTCTCACTTGATATAGAAGTTAGTTGGGAGAAGATTAAATTGAATTGACTTCTCATTTATCTTCAAGGAATTTTCACAATATTTTGTTTTATTCTCCAAGTATTGTCATATTACTATTCCATGTTTCTTAAAAAAATTTTAAATATGCTAACTTTTACAATAAATATTTAAAATTTTCCATTGCCAGTAATAAATGTTTGACAAGTGGAACAACAACCAAGTACCAAAAAACAAGACTCCTTTAATTTAACTTAATCATTAATCATTAACTACGATAAAAAAACATTAATTATTCCTTAGTTCCTTAATTAACATTCTCAATATCCATAGGCTAATGTCGTTGACACGTGTTGACAAGATGTACCGCACATGCATCCCATGATTGGGGTAATTGTCATCCACGTCAGCACTTTGGACGGTTATTTCTCTCTCATCACCGAATCAACGTCCAATATTTTCTGATTGAAAGCATATATATTTTTGTTGAATTTTTAACTACCATATAATATATAAGCCCGGAATGTATCACTGTAAGACGAACGAGGGTGCACGGTAAGAGTGTAAGACCCTCTCTCTTACCGTACATCAGAATAACCGGTGCAATCTGGACCGTTGGATGAGAAAAGTGAAAAATAAAAATTGGTCTATAAATTTAGAAGAAGACGAGTTTCTGAGTGATTGGGTTTGTTTCTCAGTGTACCCAGAAACAGAAGCAGAAGGAGGAAGACGATTAGCGAGAGAGAGAGAAAGGGGGGATAGTTGGCGAGTTAGGGTTTGGAATTCAACTCACTGAGTCTTTGCATTGTGTCGCCGGCTTTTTCTTTCGCCGGAGAAAACTTTTTCTCCGATCTCCCCTGCTTTTGTTTTAGATAGCGTAGTCGTTTGAAAGGTCCGGTTTTCCGGCGAGGAGTATGGGGTTTTCCAGTGATTCCTGATGAATTGAGTGTGGGGTAATTCCCGATTTTGACCTAAAGCAAAGGTTTTTACTCAAATTTTTTACTGGGTTTCTTCTTCTTCTCGATTTTGGGTTGAGAAGACCGAGCATGACTGTGTGTCATTGTGATTGAGATTTGGGGTTGAAATTTTTTTATATAAAAAAATAAGAAAAATTATTCTTTTGAGATTCGGATAATGATCTCTTTTTTCTTTTATGCTTTTCTGGGAGTGTAATATCTATTAAGACAATTTTTGCTGACACTCAATTTTTGGTAAATGGAGCAGAAAATCTAGGCTAAGTTCTTTAACTTGCTAAATTGGGTTTGATATTTGAGGAAACCTTGATAAATTTACAGCTTCAGTTTCATAAGTGCCTATGTTTTTTTAAAAAATAAAAAGGTTTTGGCTTTTCATTGATTGTTTTTTATATTAATAGTTTTGCTGGGTTGAATTTATTCTGTGCCCAATTTTCCAATTGATTTCCTTCTGTTAATGAATGGATCATTTCCTAATATAGTGGTTACTGCTACAGGCAGGAACCACTGGCCATTCCGTGTCTCAATTTTTTTGGCTTCCAAGTCTGTGGCTTTTCCCTCATTCTTTCACAAATCCTTGGTCCCAGAAAGAGCTTCACTCATTGTGACCCTTTAGCTTTGCTAGTGGAATTGCAACTATGGCTGTCTCTTTGACACGTTTGTCTTGGTGGTTGTGGGGTGGCAAGGAGAAAGAGCCTGTTTCTAGTGGCTCACCTTTGAATTCATCTTCTGAATGGGGTTTTAACTTGAAGGAAAGAGAGTCTGTGAAGTTCCCTTTGGTTAAGGGAACTAAGATAGCTCCTTCTCACAGGAAGGATAGAAGGAAATGGAGGAGCAGGGAAGAGAGGAGAGTTGATAGAGAGTATGATGTTGTGTTGGTGCTATCTGATGACGATGGTTGTTTCTCAGGCTCTGAATCTGATGATTCTGACTGGTCCATTGGGTGGTTGGAGCCTCATGGCTCTGATTTTCAGAGTGATGATGAGTCAGATAATAGTTTTGCTGTGTTGGTTCGTTGCTATAGGCATGCCTGCAAGGAGGTGGAGGGTTCAAACAACAAGCTTTTGAGTGCCATCAAGAGCCTTCCAAATGAATTTTCTTCTGGTAAGATTTAAAACGTACTATTGAAACATGTAATATTGTTTTCAGTGAGTTATGTTGGTCTCTATGAAACTCCTGGCACTGTTTAGCTTTTCTGAGTTGATTAACTTCTTTATGCTGGTTCTTTAAAGTCAAATAATATTTGTTCAGGTGCTTTTAAAGTTTTTCATGTGTATCGCATAATCCATAATTTTTTAGTTGGTTGTTTTGGCCTTGTTTTGTATGCTGCTATTAATGGAAAAGTGTGTCTATCATTATCACTCAGCATGCTATTGCTAATGTACCGCTTAATAACTATTCAAGTACAAGGGTGATTAGGGGTTCTGGCTTGGTAAATCCAAATAGGGAAATACATAAATATAGAACAAATTTCTTAAAATTGTCTTCAAATGCATCGATCTACGAAGCCTTTGTCTTTTATTTATTTATTCTTTATATTTTGGCGTGTGCATATACTATAGGGGCATGTTTTTCTATCCTGTGGGTTTTGGCTCCTCTTTTATTTTCTGGATGCTTTCTTGCCTGATTTGCAAAGATACTGTCTTTGCTTTTCTGAGCTAATTTTCTTTGTTTGTTTGTATCTTCTCTGTTTTATATATATGTAGTCTTAGCTTGAAATTTTTGCTGAAGGCGGTAAATCGCTTTTACTGAGTAGTTTTCATCGTAGAGAAAAAGTTATGCACTTAAGTAACTTCAAATTCACAATCTGATTAGTCCTAAATTCCCCTGTACAAGCCGCAGTCGAATGATCACTGACTTCTTTTGTACGACACAGATTGATTCCAATTAACATATGGCCCTGAATAGCTTAGTGACTGCATACTTTTCTCTCATTGTTGGCCTTTTGTTCTTGGATTGCTTACACTGCGTTGACTGTTGGGCACATGATCTTCTGGCCTATTGAGTAGGATTTGTAGATCTTTTCTTCGACCCTTTTTTTTTTTCAATAATAAATTGAAATAAAAGACAAGTGAATACTATATGATATTATCTTAATAAGTTGCTTTTAAAATTGAATAACTTTTATCCGTCATATTTCATACCTGTTTCTTTTTTGTGTTAGGAAAATGAGTCCTGGTTTTTCATATTTTTATGGTTGAATGTACGCTTATAGTTAAAACAACTTATAGCCTAGGACATACGGATCAAGTTTGATTGAAGTTGAAAAAATTGCATACTCGAAACTGTAAGTTGGGTATTATTGTGTTTAAAATAAAAGCCTACCATTTTCAATTGCGCTGTTTGTAAATCAAAACTGGGAAAGTTGTCATGTAACGAATGATGGCTGTGATTTTACGTTGTACTTTTGTTGGAAATCAATGGAGTGAAAGCATTCCTTTACAGTGCTAAGTTTTCTTATGATCTGTTGATACATTTATCTGTAATATAACATCTTCCATACTGATTGAATTTGCAGCTGGCAACAGTTATGTGGAACACTGGTTGGCTTCTCTTCAGAATTTTGAAGCGTAGATTTCTGCTTCATCTATGACTAAGGACCTTTCTGACATCCTACTAGAAGTAGAGGAGGCAAAATAATCCATTATCCATCCCGTGTATTTTTTGTACATAGAATCCTCTTCTCCTCTTGTTGTAAAAACTTCAATTGAAATGGAAATTTTCGGTCTAGAAAATTATATATGGCCAATCAATCTCTACTGTAATAAAAACGATTTTCATGTGGATATGGAGTTATAGCTGAGGATTGCTTGAGCCATATTTTGAATAAGATGAGTTTTTTTTACTCTAATATATTGCCCATGGCAGCTGAATACAATTATAAACTAATAAAATATTTTAAAGGGATAATGCAACTGACAGTCTTGATTACCTATTTAAAATTTAATATTTTATAACGCGTGTCTAGACATATAATAAGAAAATTATAAAATTTAAAATATGTTGTATAATGTAAATGGACAAGCAAAAAATACAATTAACTTACAGAAAAAAATACAATTCACTTATGCATCGCTAACCGATTAACTTATTCTTTTCTTCTTTCATGCTTGCTTTTTTCTTTGATTTTTTTTAATTCCAATTTCAGTTTTATTTCCCCACATCCCCTGCCGAGACTATTGGCTGTAAATCTGCAGAACCCTTTTCTCAAAACCGCTATATCAAGTGTTGGACCACATGAAAGTGTGACGCTACGATGAACCATATAATATAGAAAGGAACAAGAGAATAAATTTGATGAATATTTTCTCAGTTGATTTAGAAAATGACACTTTCTTCTTAGCATTGAGGATTGACTTTAATGCGTGGCTGTTTTTATGCCAAGGAATTGAAGTTTTATGAGAAATTAGAATTCATAGAAGTGTTATTTATATTTACATTCCATATACTGTGCATGACGGTATAAACTATGATAAAATGAATTGTTTGTCTCTGCAATTTCCCGTTGTTTCTTCCCTTATTTTCTGTCCTTTCTTTCTTTGTGCATAAGTTACAACGAAACATAGAACTTCGACCTTGAAATTATAACGCAGTGAGTAATCAGTTATGCCATGGGAAGAGGAAAATAAAACAAGCGATAAAGACAGTGAATGATTTGATAAGGTAATAATATGCATAAAAAAAATAAAAAAATAGCATTTTCCTCCTTTTTCGGAGTATGAAGATAAAGATGAAGAAAATGAAAGTAAAAGGAATCTGTTCTTTACATAAAACTTACATTAAGAAAAAGGTATGCGAAAGGTATCCTCCTATCCCAAGATCAAAGTCTTTGATGATAAAACCATGGGTTGATTTGATTGTCACCTCATTGTTATCGTTGATGATGTTATTATCATTTTTTAAAAACGCCGCAAACAAAATATTAATATTGGTAGTAAGTATCACATTGTATGGATACTTTTGAACTTTAGTAAAATTTTGTTAATTAATATCTTAAGGACGCAAATAAGGAATTTGAAAATAAAAGATATTAAAAATATATCGAAAATTATGGTGAATGGGTATCAAGCAATGTTTTAAAGATGGCTGGCCTTTGAAAAAAATAAATAAATACAAGTATTTAAAATTATAAAAAAGTGTGCAATTAGTTTAAATAAACTTTAAAAATATCTAAATTCTTTAAAATATATATTTATACTAAAGAATTGAAAACACCGTATCATTTTTAAAAGCGAAGGTGCTAAAAAAATTAACCTCTTAATAAATGAATTCTAATCTTATATACAGGACGAAAATCTTCATATATTTCTCTCTTTCTTGATTATTTGAGACGTTACTTTATTGATAAACTATGTGCCCCTCTAACTTTCTGCCTTTCAAATGATTCGTTTTACTCGGTTCTTTTTTCATGGATTTTTTTTAAAAATTCCCACTTACGAGTGTATTTTTTTTTTTTCAAAAGTAACAAACATTCCGGATATTACACCAGCAAAATACATTATAATTTTTAAATTTACGAAAATCAAATTGATCTGATGTAAAATGGCACGCAGATTTTCACAAACATAAATAAGGATAACGAGTAAAGCTTGTTTTTGTAATGTCCATAGAAGAATGGACTTCTCATAATTATGTAATATCAACAATTTTTAATCAAATATACGTATTATTTTTATTGAAACTTTTTTATATGCTTTTTTTTCCCAAATTGACAGGAATGCAAAAAGGCCAAACAAAAACTTGAATATGTAACTAGGTGGTAGGACGATGGATAAAATTTCTCTTTCAAAAGATTTTGGTTTTCTTTCCAAATCTTCTTATTTTAGAAGAAAGGAAGAACATATTTATAGAGTAGTGAACAGAAAATGCCACCAAAACAACAGAAATACTGAATTTTCTATTTGGGGCGCATCGCTAAACTTTGTTGTAACAAAGTGTCATCTTTCCGCGACAAAAGTCGGCCATCGCCAACCTTACATTACAGCTTTTCTAAGCAACTTTTTTTGTACGATAAAATTTAGAAACTACTCTCTGAATACAACATTGTTTTTTCAGGAGAAAAGAAAAGATATACAATAATTTCTACTATGCATTAATTTTAGATTAAAAATTTAACGTCACATGTTAGGGCTTTAATAAACAATCTTGAGTCTATTTATTTCTGCAGTGTAAATACAAGTTTGGTAGAAGGAGAAGTAATTTGCTTTGAAAAAGGTTATCTCATGATGCCATGAATACATGGTTGCAACAAAAAAAGTTTCAACAAGCGAGTGCCGTGTAGGTAGGGTTTTTTTTTTTTTTTTAGGAAAAATATTAAATATAACTGACAAATTATTCTAATTAAATTATGTGCAAGGGACGTGAATTTTTTAAATGTACTCTTTTCTTTCACATAATTAGAAAAAAAATTGTATGGTGGAGACCATTTTCCAATCATATTATGTCATATATAAAATTTTTATAATTTATAAAAAAATAAATAACACATGATAAGATATGAATAGTAGAGATTGCAGGATGCTATTTAATAGTAGAAATTTTATTAAATAACGCATGGTGCTATTCAATAATCACTTTTGCATGAATATAACTTAAAAAAATTGACCATAATAATAACATATACAAATTAATTTTTTAAAATAGTAAAGACACTTTTTAATACTTTTGAGATTTGTTTTTGTTACAGCTTTATCATGAGATTAAGTACATATTTGGATTAGATTATATAACAAAAATTTAAAAAAAATTTAGAGAATTTTTAAAATAATTGTTTCACGATAATACCAATTATGTCTTGACACTTCGATACTATTACTACCAGAAAGTTTTCCCAACAAGTATATTTGTTGAAAGTTTGAGCTTCGATCTCACATTATTGAGAAGATGACCCACTTATCTAAATATTTTTTACTATCTTCTTCAAAAAAAATTCTTTGGTTTTCTCATTAAGACTATTACTTATTATAATATATATATATATATATATATATATATATATATATATCTGTGTGTGTGTGTTTTTGTGGCTAATTATTAACATATATAATTTAGGGGATTTAGTTTCTATAAATTATGTTTGAATTGATTAATAAAATAAAACAAATGCATGAATTATTATTAAGTTATAAAATAAAATATAGAATAAAAGTTAATAGAATTCAATTCATTTAAGCCTATTATATTTATTAACTTTTCTTCCATCCGAAATTGAGGGACAATGGATGAAACATAAAAGTTAATTTCACACATCTAAAGTTGAAATATTGTGTTTCAATATACTCAATTTTATTTTAATCTAGTCCATTATATTATGTTTAAATTAACTTATAAAGTGAAAAAGTAAAAGTACATTGAGAAATCATTTTTTTAAAATCAAATGATAATTTAAAAGGGTGAGAAATATTTTAATTTAAACAAATGATATGCATATTTACTTTTTGATTTTATATATATGTTCACTTTTAAAAAAAGAATTAGATTGAGAAAATAGAAAGATGAAAAGAGGGGGTACTAAAGCAAAAGTGGAAGTGGTGGTGGCAAGGTAGGTGATGGCAAAGCTGGACAGTGCCACCACGGGCACGTGGGTGGTTCGTTGTTGATGTCATGCACATATTATTATTCTTTATTTCATTTTATTGCAACGCTTTTTCAAAAGAAAGGTTTCGACATTAAATTCGTGCGAAATTTGCTCCCCTCCATCATCCCACAACATCTTCTTAGTTCCCACGTTTTCTCTCTCTCTCTCTCTCTCTCTCTCTCAGAATCTCTTTTCATTCTTTCGTTGATTCTCTTTCCTTTTTTATTTCTTCTTCTTCATCCTGATTTTCTTTCTATTTTATTGTCTTGGTCCCTTCCTTTACCATCATGGAAACCATGTTTCTCTGAACAGCAAGAGTAAAAGGAGAAACACGGTTTGCATGCTTTTGACTCTCACATTATTAAGATCTTAATATCAAGGACCACGGGGTGAAGACATACATTATTAGCAAACAACAACAACAACAAAAAGAAAGCATCAACATGTTGCAAAGAGCGGCAAGCAATGCTTATTCATGGTGGTGGGCTAGCCACATCAGAACAAAGCAATCAAAATGGATGGAGCAAAACCTTCAAGGTGATCATTTTCTCTTTCACGTAATAAAACATGATCAACTTTTAAATGGGCTGCCGAAAAAATGTAAATGGCTTAAAATATATCAAGTTTTGACGATAAATTCAATTCATTCTGGAATTAAACCTTCAAGTTATGTTTGTTTTACATGAAAAAGGTGCTATATATTATATATTTATCCTTAATCAGGAAATTCAGCTGCTACTGAGTAGAGGTTTAAGGAAAAGAATTTGATGTTGTGATATATACTCAAACTCGAGGTTTAGTTGGTTTATATATATGATTCTGAAGATGCTTCTCAACGTACTTTTATTTCCAAAACTGGGCCTCAACTAATCAAAAAGTATACACTTTATCACTTTTTAAATCGAGTTTTTGGGACTGAAGTCTTATTCCAAAACCCGATGTTTCATTCCATTCACATAACCCTGCTTTTGTCCAATTTGTGCCAGAGAATGTCTCCAATTTTTCACCCCTACTGTTCTTGATGGAATTACTTTCAAACGCCGATACGTTGTCCAGCTTCATTTTATTTTTTAAACAGTACTGATTTGAGAAATCAGGCAAAGTTTGCATTCCTTGAAGTTGTCGAAGTCATTTCCAAATATTTTAGAAGTGATGTTTACCACTATCCTATATGTGTACATAAATATGGACGGTCATTTACTTGCATTCCTTGTTAATTAGACTATTCCTTTGATACATGTAAGTACCTGGCAAACTAAAATATATATACAAAAGTGCAGATCTGGAGGAAAAGGTGCAAAATGTTCTGAAGCTCTTAGAGGAGGAAGGAGACTCTTTTGCCAAGAGAGCAGAAATGTATTACAAAAGGAGACCAGAGCTGATAAGCTTTGTGGAAGAATCATTCAAGGCTTACCGAGCTTTAGCTGAACGATATGATCACATATCAACAGAATTGCAAAATGCCAACAACACCATTGCTTCTGTCTTTCCAGATCGAGTCCCATTGATGGATGAAGAGGATTATGATGCATCACCAAGGCCTCCAAGGAAAATACCAGAAGGATTCAAAACAAATATTCCAAAGCCTCCCCCTAAAGATTTAAAAACCGTAGTAACAAAAGCAACAGCCACAAGGAAATTTCAGTCCAAGAAGACAGCCACCTCAGGTGCTGCTACTCCTAAAGTTCCTAAATCTGGATTGAGCAGAAATGAGGCACTTAGAGAGGTTGACAAGCTCCAGAAACAGATTCTTGCTCTACAAACTGTGAAAGAGTTTGTAACGAGTTCTTATGATAATGCCATTGCTAGGTACTGGGAAACTGAGGAGCAAATCAAGGAATTGCAAGAGAGAGTTTCCATTCTGCAAGAAGAACTAGGAGAAGGTGTTGTTATTGAAGATGACGAAGCCCGCCATTTGATGGCAGAAGCTGCTCTTAAATCATGCCAAGAGGCATTGACACAGTTGCAAGAGAAACAGGAAATATCACTTGATGTAACCAGGATTGAGTCCAAAAGGGTGAAGGATGTCGAAGCCAAGTTGGCCTCTCTCATGAACGAGTTCCATTATGATCAGAGCAATTCGAAAGAGCCAAGCACCAAAAGAGATGTAAAAGAAATAGCAGCAACAAAGGACTTGGAAGAAAATTTGGACAGATTGACTCAGCAGAGACAGGAGTTGCAACATTTAAAGGAGAACATTAAAGAGCACTTTGAGACTGCCCCCAATTCATCACTCAGTGTGGCAGAAATGGCAGAGAAGATAGATGAGCTTGTAAACAAAGTGATCAGCTTGGAAACTGCAGTTTCATCCCAGACTGCTCTAGTAAAGAGATTGAGATCAGAAACTGATGAACTTCATGACCAGATCCGAACTCTGGAGAGTGATAAGGAAAATCTCATAAAGGACAAAAATAAATTGAATGACCAACTGAGAAAAATGGAAGAAAAGGTGCATGGAGTACAGGATCTAAACCAAATTGTTGAAGATCAAAATAGCAATCTCCAAACACATTTCACCGAAGCACAACGTGATCTTCATCATCTCTCAGAGAAAGTCCAAAATGTACAGCCAGGAGAGGAGGCTAAGGTCACAGATTTATCACATCAGCAAAAGAATCTACCAGGCCAAGCTGAATCAAAATATGAGCCTGAAGGACAAGTTCCATTGAATCAAGATGATATCTTGTTGAATAATATGAAATCAGAAAAGGAGCTCACCGCTAGTCTGGTGGAAGATAATGTAACATCAGATAACAAGCTTAAGGTCACTGGCTTGCCAGAAAATGGTGTACCCGCTAACGAACTCAAGGTCACCGGTTCACCAGAAAATGATGTGAAGGAAGTAAATGAGGTTAAGGTCCCCAGTTCCTCAGAAATGGAAGGTGCATCCCCATTGGAAAACAAATCTCCAAAAGGGTTAAAAGAACAAAAGAAGACTCTAAATCCTGGCAATGATGATGAAAAAGCAACAGTTGCTCTGAGCAGTACTACAGAAAATCAGGAAGTCAACCGGCACCCGGCAAGCAACAAGGCAGATAGTTCTTCGGAGAGTATTGAGAAACAGCAAGAAAATTATGATATGCAAAGTTCATCTGAGAGAGAGAATGCTCTCAAAATTGATCCCGAGAAGCAGGAAACTGCACAAAAAGATGAACCTGATTGGCAACAATTGTTTATGAGTGGAATGCAGGACAGAGAACATGTTCTGCTGACTGAGTATACTAATACTCTTCGGAATTACAAAGATGTGAAGAAGAAGCTCGCTGAAATAGAGAAGAAAAATCAAAACAACTTTGGTTCATCTTTGCAGCTGAAAGAACTGAAGACAGCTAATGCCATGAAAGATGAAGAAATAAGGCTTCTGCGTCAGAAACTAGGTCTCCTGCAGAGAAGCTTGGAGGGAAATGAGGATTTGACAGATTCAACTTCAGTATTGCCAACAGAAAATAACAACTTTGAGGAACTTTTTAAAATTCAACAACCTGAATGTACATCAGCCATTGAAGAGAAATTCCGGTCAAATATGGATGAAATTCTAGAGCAGAACTTATATTTTTGGTTAAAGTTCAGTGCTTATTTCTCTGAGATACAGAAGTTTGAAACCACTATAAAAGATTTGCGTATGGATTTATCAAAATTTGAGGAAAAAGGGAAATCATCAGAGGGCAGTGGTAGCATAAAATATTCTATAAAATCAGATGCGAGACCGATTTATAAACACCTCACAGATATCCAAACTCAAATAACAGTCTGGATGGAAAAAAGTGCCTTGCTGAAAGAAGAACTGCAATGTAAATTCTCATCTTTGTGTGACATCCAAGAAGAGATAACAGCAGCATTGAAAGCCAGTGCTGAAGATGATGACTTCAGGTTCACAAGCTACCAAGCTGCCAAGTTCCAAGGTGAGGTTTTGAACATGAAACAGGAAAACAACAAGGTTGCTGATGAACTTCAAGTGGGTCTAGATATTGTAACATCTCTCCAACTAGAAGTTGAACGGGCTCTTGTGAACTTGAATGATCAATTTGGATTCTCAGCATCAAAGCGACAACAAAATGGCCAGCTGAGACAATCAGAAACTCGGGCCAAGGTTCCTCTGAGGTCATTTATCTTTGGCCCCAAACCAAAGAAACAATCTATTTTCTCCTGCATGACCCCTGGAATGCATAGGAAATACCGGGCTGCCTAGGAGTAGAACTCATACGTAAAATATTTTTAGTTCCCTACTGTATTTTTTTTAATTTTTCATCTCTTTCTGAAAATTCTTTTGCCAGTTATATTAGGTTGTGTATTAAGAGTGCCCTTGCTTCACAGAAAGGTAAGATAATCATTTTTCATTTTTTCTTGTCCATAAGTTGGTTAAGTATGATAAGATGTAGTATTTGGTTTACACTTCTCTTTATATTTTGAGCAACTTTTAGGGTAACTGGCCAATGACAGTTTTGTGGCTTTCAATCCAGTCTTAACTAGAATGGTAGTTTGTATTTTGTAACATTATTAAATGGCAATCACTTATTCAACACCCCCCCACCCCCCCAAAAAAAAAAGAAAAAAAAAGAGGGAAATCATCAATCGGTAACACAGTGGATGATACAAACTCAACATAAACCCGTGAGAACTATATAACCGTAATCGCCTCAAAAAAACCCAATATAATGGCAATAATTTTTGGTTACAAATTGATTCGCTATATAATAGTTATCCAATTAACCCAATTTCCTAGACCTATCTTGCCACTTGTACCTACAGACGAAAGTTATCTTGCTTTTCTCTCAAGGCAAGGAAATAACACGCTCCTATACAAATCGAGTGCCAAAACAAGGTCCAGTTATGTCATGATCTGTAAGCATTCCATATGCCCTCTGTTAAGCAGGTGTCTACCCTCCATGGAATAATGATCTCACTAAACAGGTGGAACATGTCATCTAAAGACTAAACCAAAGGAGAATCCCAAAACTAAGAAAACGAAGATAAATATTTCACTATCTTCACTTGCCCTTGCTGGCATCTTTTGGCAATTGTACACCCATAAGACCAAGCAAATTTGAAGCAGGACCAGGAAGACCTTGTTGGGAAGAAAAGGAATCAAGAAAGCTTTTGACTAAATTTACATCCATATCTACAGGAGAAAATTCCTCATCCACATATCTGGATGCACTTGATGTTCCCTGAAAGTGAATTCACAAAACAATCAGTAGTCGTTCCACTGCACTATAGCACTTAAACTTGCTGAATCCACAGTTTGCCTATTTAACGTATTGCCAAATGGAACATCGCTCCTACTTATAATTTGTTTCTTTCCTTTCAAATGACCACGTAAGTTTTGAGGTTGAGCAATATTTATATGGCATTAAAAAATCATGCACATGCAAACAAAATACCTCATCCTTCTTCGAAATTTGTTCATTAGCACGGACAAAACTTTTCTGAAGGGTGGTTGCATTTATTTCTTCATTCATAGCATCAGAATAGGACTGCATGAAAGTATCCTCTCCATCTTCATTATCCTCAGCAGATTCAGCCATATCACTCTCATCAGAATCATCTACACAATCATCAATAAAAATATAAAAACCCACAGGACTTACTAAGGGGGAAGGCATATACTAATTGACTGAATAAGCAATATATTTGGTTGAATTCCAAGAATTAATTCATTATGCATACTTCCAAGTACCAGTTATTATAGTGGCAAATTTCATCCAGCTCACAGTATCACAAACAACCAAGGTAATTGATCTATGTTCAATCGAGTAACACCAAATTTGAATAGATAAAGAAAAAACAGGGTACTCACAAGCAAGAATGAACTCCATGTAACTATTATGCACTTATTTGGTGAAACTAATTTATACAGAATCCTCTGCATGGAATTTTAGATTAGTCAAGTAACGACTAATATTTTAGTAAATAACCATTCATATTTAACAGCATTAATAAGATACCAACTATGCATCCTGAAATCGATGTGCAGTAACACACTGAAGACCAGCTACAGGTAACGTGCTTAAGTCCAAAAGATAACTCTATTAGTCTATGTCATACTGATGGTTATGCTACAGATGGGTGTTCAAACTTCTTTGAGAATGTCACGCGCAATAAAAGTTGACTTGAGATGCAGTTAAGTTCAACAATTCCCTTTTATGTATTGTTAAAAATGGGGGTTAAAGCTTAGCACAAGCTACACTTTGAATTATCTGTTATTTCAAGCACTACACCATATTATAGTTTTAGACTTTTTTGGGTTGGACGAGGGTGTATGTGGGAGATTTACATTGTACTACCTTTCTCAAGAAAGAACAACAAAATCTGAAAAGGTACTATCAAAGCAGCCACAATGACCAGCACTTGTCACAAATCATTGACTGGATGGTTGAAAAGGACTCAGAAGAGCCATTTACCCTTGTTCTACTAGAAATTAATGAAGTTAGTATTGTGTGATACAATAGTAAGAATACAATTCCTTAACTCAGGGAAATGAATCGTGTGAAAGAATCAAAATCATTGTCGGAATCGACTGAATCATACAAATCAAGGCTCAATTGTGAATGTGCACAATGGCACATGATTTCTCTGCAAACTGGGCAGCATGCGAATCAGGTAAGGTCAGTGTGACTCGGTCCACAAAAAACCCCTGAAAAAACCTCCTTTTTTAATTTTTGTGTGCAAAAAAGACATTTTCAACTTGTTTCTCCTTTTGCCAGTCAACCCATTGTTTATATTCAGAGAAAAGCCTTGTTTTCTCATTCCCACCTTTGCTCTTCCTCTTCTTTGCACTGTTTGATGTTGTTCCCTTTATTTCCTTGTGCATTATTATGGTTCTTTCTCTCAACTTCTCACTCCCTATTCAAGATTTATGGTGGTGTTCCCTGCCTTAGCAACGGTTCCTATTTTTTATTTCTTTTCTCCTCCTTGGTTGTTTGCTGTTTAGAGAGACAAATGTTTAAACCTTGCTATAGTGATTTTCTATCATTTTTTTTTTCTTTTTGAAAGGCTATATGTCGAATTTGAGCAATCACCTTTTTTTTTTTTATTGTAACTCACTATTATGATTTAAATCCAAACTTGCTTACAAGCGTGTTACATTATTAACTATATACTATTTGACTTCAAAATATATTAGATATTTTGATATTTCTTTATGTTATAATGCTCTTATATTTATGTTTTTTATATTTTAAATTATTGATCTTAAATCTTACGATTCGATTCACAATTTAAAAAATAAGTTTTAAGATTCACAACTTAAATCTCGATTTAATTACCTTGCTAAAAATAGACATCCTACAATCACACATACGACTTCTAATTCTTCTCATCCTCCACAATTCAGAGAGGGAAAGTGTTGGAGAATGTGAAAATAGAAAATGGCCAAAAGTAAGTTCAAGACTAAATGATGTGGACCAAAATGTGTGTACATACATGACATATCGTAAAAACAGAAGTGTATTAATGTAATGGTGTAACAGAATTATTATACAAAATAATCCATTTGCAGAAAATAAGTGCCAACACGTTAGTTCAACATATAACAATTAATGAGAGGATTTGTTTAAGAAAAGAATCAAAAATTATAAAGAAAACTTGCTTAACCAAACAATTTATGACTACAGAGTATCAAGTGACCAAAATACAATGAAGATCTTACCGAAGTCCAGGTCAGATGAAGATCCTTCCTCAATATTACCATTGGCAACTTCACCACCCGGAGGTTTCATTATTGATTCCATGTCTTTAATAAATTGATCCACGTCCAGGTTCACTTCCTTATTCCTTTACAAGGTAAGTGCCCAAGATAAAGAGATATTAACATAATGAAGTAATATGGCGAAATCACAAAGGTATCAAATCAAGTATCACCTAAATGTGTAATTGTGTATCACTGTACTTATCATGACAGCATTACTGAAAACTATCGTAGCAAGACAAATAACTATAAGTGCAGTATAATTATTTAAACCAATAATAAAAATAGAACATGTTCTTCAATATATGTATGTACGTGAGTATGGGTATATCAATACTTACCTTACCAATTAGTACTTAAATAAGTAGAACTCCTAAATATGCTCTATCACTATAAGTGCAGTATAAAATCAGCCTTTTTTTTGTTACAAAACTATGGAACTCTGAATCCATATCCACGTCAACAACCAACCATAGCCAAAAATAAATCATTATCATGACATCCTTTCCCTGGAAAGATGTCTATACAATACAATAGGTGTCTAAAGCATGCATATCAAATAATATACTAAATGACGATGTATATCATTGACCTAACCTGTCTTCAGGAGCTTCAGCACCCTCGTAACTTGACAACTTATGGACAAATGCCTGCATGGTCTTTGCTATATCAACAGGATCAAACTCACCAGCATTGGAACCAGACGATACACCAGTATTATCACCCTCTTTCGCTTTCCCTTTCTTTTGGTGTTTTAAGTCATAAAGGTCCATCTCCTTTTGTCTTTCCATAAGAGCAGAGTTCAACTCTTCCTCCCCATCGTAGAGCCAGGAATCATCATCAGAAGGAGGAACCTCCTGACCCTTAAAATCATCCGCTGAATGAGGCAAAGCGAGAATTTCATCTATGCGTCTTACAGGAGCATTCATTAACTCACTGCACCAAACTTTCACCTCATCAAAACAATAACAAAAACCAACGGTTATGGAGCTAAAAGCAAAAGGAGCAAACAACGAACCTGGCGCTGGAGTGCAGAGAAGTGTTCCTATAATACTCTTCAGCATTCTGCATCAATCTCTGATACTCAGAAGAACCCGGCAGCAAACCTTGGAAGTAGCCACTGCTCTCCAAGCTCTTCTTAAACGCTTCCCAAGTGCTCCCTTTCCCATCCATCCCATCACGCTTCCTCTGCTGATACATCATCTCCAACCCACAAGCTATCTTCATCCCCAACTCCGCCTCCACGTACGCCTCTCTCTCGCTCCGACTCGGAATCTCCGGGTAACACTTCGGAGCCTGAAAAGCTTGCTGCACAAGCTGCGCGTACATGGCCCTCGACATCTTCACCGAAACAATCACTAGCTCCTCGCTCCTTCCCCTCTCCAAGAACCTCTCCATCCTGGCCGCGAACTTCATTGTGTCCACGTCCCTGTCGTAGAACCCCTCCACTGCCAGGGAAATAAAGCACGGCTCGTGCTTCAAAACCTGCGCCACCGACACGGGAACCCTAACCCGAACCCTATGCATGTTCTTCCGCGCCTTTTCAGGGTAATCCTTTATGCGGTTCTTAATGGCGCGTTGGACAGGGTCAGGGGCGAGGGATAGGGAGGGGGAATCGGCGATGAATTTGAGAGAATCGAGGAGGGAAGGGGAAGGAAGGAGGGTTTTAGGGACGATGTGGAGGTTACCGGAGCGGAGGAAGATGCGGTTGAGGGAGGTGTTGGGGTTGAGCCAGCGAGGGAGGTGGAATGCGGCTTCGATGAGGAGGAAGTCGCCGTCGGAGTCCCAGACGCGGAGGGAGAGAGAGGGGAAGTTGATGGAGATGTGGAAGAGGAGGAAGACTGTGAACCATTCGTCGTCGAGGTTGTCGCCGTAGCGGAGGTGGCCGTGGAGGTGGTGGAGGTTGGAGGAGGAGGGGCATGGGCATGAGGGGTTTGGGGGAGCGGATATGGAGAGAGTGAAGGGTTGGTGTTGCCATATGTAATCAGTGGTGAAGGGTGACACTGTTTCCAGGATTTCCAGGTGGAGGGATTGGAGGGTGCTGGTTGTTGTGGTGGTGGTCGAGTGAGGGTATATGGAGTAGAAAACGGTGTCGTCTGATGCGCGGGGAGAGAAGATCGAGGAGGAGGAAGAAGAAGGAAACTCCATTGCTCTGCTACTTTGCTCACAGTTCTTGAATGTTCGTTCGAGTCCGGGGAGTTTCTCATAAACCCCTTTAAACCCTCTAGGTTGTATCTCGTTGGAAACACGTAGCATGAATGAAAAGTTACATAGTACTTAATTTTTGCAGTTCGTGATAGATATCAAAAAGGATTTTAGTAAACATTTATTGTAGTTACAATAATGTTTAACCTTAACATTAACCACCTTCAACCATTTTAATCTTTATTGTTTATACATATTAAAATTGAATAAGAAAGTAATAATTTAAAGAAGATCCTTAAAAAATAGTTATTTTTATTTTTAACTTTTAATATTTTTAAATAATAACTTTTTTTTTCTTATTCTCTTGCTTTTTTATGTAACTTTTTTCGTAACATTTTTTTCTAACTATCAACTTTCATCTTCTAGCAACTATGTCAAATTTTTTATAAGCTGTTCTAGTGTATAATGTCATAGAATGTTAACTTTTCATTCTCTGTGTACTTCTTTTTTCTTTTATTCTTTTCTTTAATTGCATTAGTAAGGACGTTCAAAATCTTTAAACTGATTCAAAATACTGATTCCTATAACTTTTGTACTCACAATTTGAAAAAAACAAAATAAATCGATAAAATTGAAATAATGAAAATGAAAAGTTGTGAGCGATGGAGAAAGTAAAGCGGAGAAGAGGAAGGAAAAGATAAATAAGATGAAAGAGTCATATAAGAGTAGGAAATTGACTGCTTTTGCATGGAGATGCAACATTATATGTAGGAGCAACCAATAAGAGATTTAGCGAGTCGTCGACAGTGAGAAGAAATGCAATGAAAGAAAATAAATAAATATTACTACTTAAAAATTCCAAAAGTTAACGGCAACAATGAATTATTTTTAAAATATTGTAAGATAATATTGATTTGTGCTTATAATGAACTTTTCATTGTCTTGACAATAAAGATCAATTTAATTAATCATGGTTAACATGAGAGAGTAATGTTTGTTAATATTTTATTTGACTAAGATAGTCATAAAGAATAGCTTGCGAACAATGAAAATATAATATACTAATAAAATTAAACACAGATGATAAGTAAATGGGTAATTCTCTTATAATTTTGCTAAACTATTTATGGCGATTGGCCATTTTAAAGCGACAAGTTCCGGTGGAAGTATAAAACGACCAGAAGTACTATAAAAACAGCCACAAAATACTTATAAAAAAAATGACAGCATGAACCAAGTCATACTAAATTGTTAAAATTGTTGGGGGTTTACCCGTTTTGGTAAAAAGGCCTCAATGATTTCTTCACCTCAAAGAAAAAAATTATATGTTAAAAATATAATAAAATAGAATATAACCTTAAGCTACAAGTCTTCAAATATAGTCAGTTATCGGCATGAGTAAAGTTTGAATTGGACCGATTTAGCTCTTCTCTTTCCATCACGACATCATCATCCATGTAGCGTGTAATAAATCAATCTAACTACTCCACTCCACTTTCACTCGCCGAGTCTACAAAACATCCTTGAAACACAAGAAAAGAGCCAAACACATCGTTCCCCACCGAAAAAGCAACTTAATAATAAAAAACATAATTTTTCTGATTCATTCTTCACTCTTCACTCGGCTGCAACACTTCTCTCATCAACGGCCACTCCAGAGGGACGTTTTGGTAATTCTACTCGTACCTTCCTTCCAAGGTCGTTTTCAACTCCCACACAAAAGCACATTGTTTACCTCTTCTCTTCCTTGTCTTCACACCATTTTCTAGTACAGTTCCACTGTGCCTCTACACCCTCCTACTCTCTCTCTTTGCTTCTTATAAAAATCTCATCTTTCTTCTTTCCACTGAATTGGGTTCATAAGTGCGTAAAAGTGTGAATGGAAAGTCGGTCGAAGTCGAACATGGAGTCATCGAACAGGGGTGTGGCTCTGAGTGTGAGGGGTGGCAATAATGGGAAGAGACACGGTGCTGTTGCAGCCAACGTGGAACCTTTTGTGCCAAGGAGTGAGCACAACCCAAGAGAGTTACGGTCATGGGCTAAGAGAACGGGTTTTGTGTCTGATTACTCAGGGGAAGCAGGGACGAGTGGCAGTGAAAAGTTTGAACCTCTTGAGAGAAAAGGAGGAGGGTCTTCTCCGAAGATAGAGATAGATCCGATTCTGGGGAGGACAAGACCCAACAGGGGTAACGAGATCGAACCAGCTTCTCATGGAGGAGCCACGAGGAATGAGAATGGCACTCTTTTGGATACGGGGAGGGGGAGAAGAGAGAATGAGCCTGTCGTGGCTTTGGCTCCTGATGGTGAGAGGAAAGTTGGTTTTAGAGCGAATGAGAATGGTAATGGTAATGGGAATGGGAATGGGAATGAGAATGGGAATGGCAATGGCAATGGACATGGAATATCTGCAGTTGCTCCTGTTCCTGAGGAGAAGGTGGAGGAGGGTGATTTGGCCCAAGAGGATGTGAAGGTCAATGTGCATGCTGAAGGGGAGGAGCCTGCAAATGAAGGTGGAGGGTGGCAGGGATCGTCTGGATTGAAGTGTGGACTCAAAGAAAATCCGGGTTTTGGTTAGTGTTTGTTCTTCTTTTCTGTCGGTTACAAGTTCTTTCTCAGTGTCGGTTCGTTTGGCTCTTTTCAGTTTATATTTTAGAATGCCAATTTTGGATGATCTTTTAGTTTTGTTGTTGCACTTGAATGTATGTGGAAAAATTTCATGTCTTGACTCTTATGTCAAGTCTTCTACTCAAGATATTATTTTCTAGAGTGTCTTTTTTAACTTATATTTTTTGAATTGCTTAATACTTTATGTTCAGCAATATGACTGGTATGTAGCTAACTTCCTATGTTTGGATGTAAGGAAGCTTGTCAATAAGTTTTAGTCATGATTCGTTTATATCTTCATAAATTGGTCTGTAGGCGTGTATACTACTGTCATGTTTAAGAGTAGGGAGGATATCATGAATTTTATTTGGATTTGGGCATGAATCTGTCAGCTGCTTTAATCTCTAGTTGCTACTGTTCTTTTCCATGACTGATTGCAAAGCTTTCCATAATGGAAAATGGAAAATTGTGAACATGAAAAAAATTAGAAAAGAGGGAGAAGAAATGTCTACAATTTACAGAAATTTATGGAACTGTTTACCCAGAATGAAAAGCTAAATTCCATGCATTCCCCTTATAAACATGATCTCAACCAACATGTTATTTGAAATAAATTTTTTGAGAATACCAATCTTTGATCTCCTTCAAATTGGGTGAGATAACTTATCATGAAATTAAAGAAGGTCTTTGTGAAAGAACATATTTTTTCTGTCCATATCATTGCTTAACTAATTTCTATGTCATTACTAGCAAGATTATTTAGCATATTCATTTTGCTGTAACTTGCCCAAAATTGCTACCTAAGTTTTGACTTACATCATAACATTTTTAACTGCAGTATCTCTTATCTATTATGGCCTGCAACACTATCTATCGTTGGCTGGTTCTCTTGTATTGATCCCATTAGTCATGGTACCTGTCATGGGTGGAACAGATGTAAGCTCACGCTGTTATTTTCTGTTTACTGCTTGTTACTCAGAGAAAGTTGATATTTTTGTCATATTCTTATCCATTTGCTTTGCCATTGATTGCTGACAACAGAAGGATACTGCCACTGTAATTTCTACAATTCTGTTTCTTTCTGGCATCACAACTATACTGCACTCCTATCTTGGTACCCGACTGCCCTTGGTTCAAGGGAGCTCATTTGTGTATTTAGCACCGGCATTAGTTATTATTAATTCTCAAGAATATCGGAATCTTACTGAACATGTAAGTTCATTGCATAGTTGACAGACACGAAATGTTAATTCATTAACACATCACTTTCAGGCTCTTTTAATATAGGCATACAAAATTATATACATTTTACACTATCTGCATTTTGAAATACAATTACTTCGGAAAATAATGTTAGGAGTTAATTTTCTCATGACTTGTTTACTGCTTAACCTTATGTATATTTGAATCACCAGTATTATTTTTCCTTTATCCTTTCTGCTATTATGTATCTGTTCACTTAACAGACTTATGCTTTGTCAATTTTTTTAAACAAAATTTGGACCTGTTATTCACAAATCACATTAAACACTGGCTTTGAATCTGTTAGTTTGGATATATTCTCAGCGTACATGTTAAAGCTTGTATATTTTAATTGCAGAAATTTAGACACATAATGAGGGAACTCCAAGGAGCTATAATTGTTGGTTCAATATTCCAATGTATCCTGGGATTTAGTGGTTTAATGTCTATTCTACTCAGGTAAGAAGCAGTTGCACTTGCATGTCATATCTTCCTTGTTTTCATAAATCTCTTTCTTCGCTGTTCAATTTGATGAGTTTCTATATTTTGTTAGTTTGCTGCACTGTTGCCTTGTTAAATGTTTATAATGTGTGTTTAACATGAGATAAATTTATGCATAAAAGGAACTTATATTGGTCAATGAAGTCATAGAAGCTAATGAACTTTTATCCTAAGAGAGTTGTAAAGACTCAAGTCTCATTTGTTATTTCTTTACAATTTTAGGTTAATCAACCCAATTGTGGTTGCCCCAACTGTTGCTGCTGTAGGTTTAGCATTCTTCAGCTATGGTTTTCCACAAGCAGGCACTTGCCCCGAAATTACCATTCCACAGATAGCGTTGGTTCTAATATTCACTCTGGTGAGTGACACACATCAAGCATTTTAAGCAGCTCCAATACACAGGATATATGGTATCAGAAAATTATACTAATTGTTGTAATTTGTAAAGTTACTTTTTGTATTTAGGGCTGCATGTTGTAAACAGGTCATGGGCTTTTGGATTTTTATTCTTTATTGAATGATATCAGCATTGTTCATTAACTCATGTTATTACTTCTTTTTGTCTTGTTTGAAGTATCTTCGGGGAATATCTATCTTTGGGCGCCACTTATTTCGAATTTATGCTGTAAGTATCTTAAATTAAAATGTTACTCTATGGCTTTTGTTTTCTCTGATTTTTGCGTTCTTCAATTTATCAAATCCCTATCATGTTACGAAGCAACAAGCAGAGAAATCATACAAAAGATGAAAAGAAAACAAACAAATCTTTATTGATGATTGATATCAATCAGAGATGGAGAGAAATCTTCTCCAAGGGTTTCCAACTTACAACTGAACTTCTGTTCTGTTTTCTCAATCTAACAAGTCTGCCCCCCACTCCCTAATTCTACCCCTCCTCCTATTTAAGCTAAATCCCTGTCCTCCCAACCTCTATCTAACTAGTTGTTCTATCTATCTATTAATACTCTACTGTAATTAATTTATACCTCACTATTGATATTTGGGAATCTCTAACATATCATGCTAGAAGTCGTGTAAGTGATTCTTACTTTCTGACAGGGCTCCACCTATCCTGCTTACGTGTGGACATTATAAGATCCTTTCTGGCCTTAACAGTCCCACACATTGTGAGGAAAGGAAAGAATGTTACTCTAGGATAAAGAACTTGTCTCAATATTAATTGGTCAGTAATGAAGTCAGATTTCATAGAAAGATAGTCTTGGAGTCTCCTAGAAATGTGACTCTAACACAAGCTGTATGCATTCTTCAGCAAGGCTACAGAGTCCAGATTTATTGTTAGAACATTAATTTATGAGCATTTTAATTTTCTTGGCATTACTTGTTTATTTGTGATTCTCTATGCAATTAAGTGTTGAAGATAACCAAGTCCAAGGAGGAAAGGGGCTTGGGAGTAGAGAAATAATAGAAGATTTGTTTGTAATCTTTTGTTAGTAATTGTGGACAATATTGGCTAAGTCTTTTCCTTTAGTATGTCAGTATACAATAATAAATTCTTATAGCATACTTTGTAATATTTGCAGGTTCCCCTGAGTTTGACAATAATTTGGATATATGCATCCTTTTTAACAGCTGGGGGAGCATATAATTACAAAGGATGTAATCCAAATATACCAAGTTCAAACATTTTGTTGGATGCATGTAGAAAACATGCATATACCATGAAGCATTGCAGGACTGATGTTTCCAATGCATTATCTGCTGCTGCATGGGTCAGAATTCCTTACCCTTTACAGTGGGGAATCCCTATTTTCCATTTTAGGACTTCCATAATCATGGTCATAGTATCGCTGGTTGCCTCTGTGGATTCAGTAAGTATCATATTTAAATGCACACCATACACTAAAGGAAAACCTTTACTAATGTCCTAGATAATTGTCTTGAAGTGGTGCCTGTACACATACACACACACACACACACACAACTATTCACATATATATGAGTTTATGCAAACTCAAGGTCCTAGTGGCTAATCCCATATTTAAATATTAAGATGGATTTTCATCTTGAAAGCAAGGATCAAAGATGAATAGGAGATAAAACTGTAATTGTAACTGTGAATGGCATATTTTTTTTCCCAGGTTGGAACTTATCGTACTACATCTATGCAAGTTAATTTGAGGCCTCCGACTCCTGGAGTTGTGAGCCGAGGAATTGCACTTGAGGGTTTCTGTAGTATATTGGCTGGTCTTTGGGGTTCAGGTACTGGGTCAACGACTTTGACAGAAAACATGCACACCATTGACATCACAAAGGTGGCCAGTCGGAAGGTAGTGGAAGTTGGAGCAGCTTTCTTGATCCTTTTCTCACTTATAGGTAAAACAACAACGCTTGGAGAAAAATCCATAATTAAATTTAAAAATCTTAACCATCTCTGTATATTAAGTTTTCATTCCTCTCCATTTCGATGCATTCTGGCTGGGTTGGATCTTATGATGTGCAGTGGTTTCGTTTTGGTGCATTTGAGTCAGTTCTGAAAATGAGTTATGTGAGATTCTCTTAGTGGAACCCTGATGAATGATGCAAGTTGCTTACACACATATTTCATGTACTTTTGACACTGGTCAAGATTGATTGCGACATTATATATTAACAAAACTTTAGGTACCTTACATCTGTTGTCTATATACAGGTTAATTTGTTGTCTTTTTCAATAATCTATTCCTTACTTATGTATGTTGTAGGAAAAGTGGGTGCCCTTCTTGCTTCCATTCCGCAGGCCTTGGCTGCTTCTGTACTGTGTTTCATGTGGGCGCTAACTGCAGCATTAGGCCTCTCTAATTTACAGTACAGTCAATCAGGCAGCTTCAGGAACATAACAATAGTTGGCGTTTCATTGTTCCTCGGTATGTCCATCCCTGCTTATTTTCAACTATACCAACCTGAGTCAAGTCTGATTCTGCCTAGTTATCTGGTTCCTTATGCTGCTGCATCAAGTGGGCCGTTCCATTCAGGCATTAAACAAGTAAGTACCTTTTGCCTCCGCATAAAAAATGGAAAAGAACAGGAACAAACAGAAAGGAGGCTGGTTTTATAGCTAATAGATGAATATGTCAATCATTAACTTTGACTTAATTCACAACGCAAGCTTCTAACATCCTAGCTGATTTATCCTGATTGAAACTGGCATCACGTAGATTTGTCCTTAGAAACAACTAGTCTTTACTTTTGCTTGATTTTCTTGCAAATTCATCCATATAGCTTTTTTCCTCTTCTGATGAATATGAGCTAACATGTCGTATTCTATGTTGAAGCTTGATTTTGCAATCAATGCTCTTATGTCCTTGAACATGGTGGTTACTCTGCTGGTGGCATTCCTACTGGACAACACTGTCCCAGGCAGTCAACAAGAACGAGGGGTGTATATATGGTCGCGAGCCGAAGACATTGCCACTGATCCCTTGGTGCAATCCGAATATTCACTGCCAAAGAAAGTAGCCCGGTGTTGTTGTTGGCTAAAATGTTTGGGAGTCTAATACTTGGCTCACTCTCACATTTTAATCCTGGTAACAGTTCTTCCACAAAATGGTCACTCGTGGGATATGTCTATTATTCCTTGTTCTCTTCCGTGAGAGGCTTAGAAGATATTGCAGCTCACGAAGACAAAAGTAAATACAAGGATATGTTATATGGCTATAGTAAACATTAAATTGGGGGAGATAGCGTTGAAACATTAGTTATGCTTGGAAAATCACAGATGTCAAATCTGCCGAAAAAAAGTGTACTTGCATATTTATTTATTTTTATCAATAAATGTTCTATTTTTTGTAGTTTCACATTGAGCTAAAAGTAAGATTTGTTTCTAGTCGCTGACCAAGGAAAAACTAATGCAACTATGTCAGTTACGAAGTTTTTAGGCTTGAGCCCGCCCATGCCCATGACCCACGACCCACGACCCACGACCCACTAATTCAATTGGTAGCTTTTTAAATGGAAGTAAGGGGAAGGAAAAAATAAGTCACAACCCTTAATTTAACTGTACATATGATCTAATGAATTAAAAAAAAGGGTATTAATGTCCAACTCTAGGTGATCTATTGGTCTGCCAGTCCTCAATTAGGGAACGAAGGGTGTGATTTGGGGTGAGGAATGTGTGCTTCATCCTCAAATTTGTCATTGGCGATGTGTCACGTCCCGATTTTATCCACTGTTCTATTGCTTCCAGCTCATAGGAAAATCCGTCTGCTGCCACGTGTGGGTTTTTCATTACCTCCTGCAGCCATCACAGTAACACAACCTTAAGTTCAAGGATTATTACCGAACAAAAATTGTAACTTCACATAAAATAATCTTCTGTCTGTCCGAACAATATTTTATGTGCAGGAGTCAACAAATGATCATTCTCGATATCATGGGGGTCAATTTTACAACCTAGAAATAGTACTTTGCGTCAAATCATGTTTGATCTAAAAAAGTCTAACTAATTTGTCAAACATAAAGCGAAGTCTAGCTTATTTATTTGACTTTGGACTTTCTGTAAGATCTAATCTAACACAAACCCTTACATAAGTTAACAGTTAAATATGCTAGTAAATATATGATTTTATTATGTTATAATAAGTATCTAATACAACTACAGTAATAATAGTAATTCTTAAACGGATTAATTTGTTTGATCTAAGAGTTTCTAAATAATTTAAAGCATGAAAATATTAATCAAATACAAATTTAGAAAACATTAATACTAATAGGACTATCACAAGCTAGATTTTACGCTTCCAACCACCCACCTATTCCCCAACACTAACACAGGGCTAGCTATTAGCTAAATAGCGAAGCTTATACTTAAATTAAAAGATCAAGAGACCAACCTGAAGTATGGGGCACAGAAAAACACTAGGCACATCACTTGAACCCTCTCTATCTATAAATCCACCAATGATTACCTTTCGCCCTTCCTTTGCAATTATTTCATTACCCTTTCTTCTTATCTCATTGAGTTCCTCTAAGACCCTTGCAATGCTCAATTCTGAGTTGGGCTTGCTTTTGATGGACATGCACCTCTCAGCCAGCCCTGCAAGTTCTCTCGCTAGATCCAATGGCCATTGTCCAGCCATTTCATCAAGAACTCTAACAAAAGCCTCTTTATCCATATCCATTGTCAAGGCCTCCTCCACAAGCCCAGCCCAATTTCTTCCAGTCAAAAGCTGCATCAGCAAAACCCCTATGGCCCGTAAATCTGACTCAACGTTACACTTCTCATCATGGCATTCATGAAGCCCAAAATTTGTTATCTTCGACACCAAATTACGGTCTAGGAGGACGTTGGATGGGGTCAAATGACAATGAATCACTGGCCTGGGCTTAGCTGCATTGAGAAAGCCCAGGCCTGAACATACCTCTGTGGCTATTCGTATTCGATCGTGCCATCTCAAGGCCCGGTTTTTCCTCCTAGAACATAACATGTCACGTAAGCTGCCATTGCGCATGTATTCCAAAACTATACATTTGGGCTCGGAGCAAAAGCCCACCATGGCAACCAGATGAGGTTGCCTAATATCCCCAAGAAGCCTCACCTGAAAATGCAGTAGAAATTCAAATTAGTGAATCCAATACACGCAAAACAATAATAAATTGATAATTTTTTAAAATTAACACATATTGCGATTGAATGACCAAGCGAGTTTTACTACTTTATTTTACCTAATATCTACTATTGAATTTAGTTGGATTCTCTAAAATTGAACTAATCATTATCTAATCGTTGCATATTATATAAATTCGTATATTAAAATTTTAATATATAATTTAGATTTAATATAATATAAAAGCATACCTTTTTAAATCGAGTTCAAATTTTGTTTATTAAATTCAGTCTTCAATATTGTTTTGCTTATTAAATTTAATTTTATCAACTCATAAAATTATTTTAAGTCCAAGTCATGGGATAAAGAAGAGAATATTTGAATTCAATGTTGCATGGCATGTGGTATGGTAGTTGATACTGTTAAGGCAGTTAAAAAAACAATAAACTTGTTATCATTATTATAAGAAATGATAGTATGTTTTAACATAATTTTAAAAAAATATTTTATTATTGGTTTTTAAAATTTTATTTAAAATTTATATAAATTATATTCTCATTTACTGACATTTTTATAATTTTAATAAAGTTTAACCTTTAAAAATTAAAAACAAAAAAGTGTATATACTATATACTCCTCTTAACATTATACCTTGGATTTGAAATCTTGACGAGAGAAAGAAGAAAGAGAAGGGAGCATCTTGATTGCAACAGTGGAATGGCTGAAACGTCCTCTGTACACATTGCTCCAATCCCCACCGGACTTGAACCGTAGCCGCTCGGAAAAGTTATCGGTGGCCAACCTGAGCTCCTCCTCCGAGTACTCCCTGAAACTACAACACGTGTCGCTCAACCTCGCAGCCATTCCAATCGCGTCTTTCTGTTTGCAGAATTCGATTCTTCTGTTCAACACATCTCTCTGCCTCCGAAGCTCTTCTATCTCCCTCACCATCTCGCTTCTCTCTCCCACCGCCTTCTGTAGCTGCGTCTCAGCGCGTGTCTTTGCCACCGTCGATTTTTGAAGCCTATTCGACAACTCCGATTGCAGTTCCAACAGTGAACTTAACCTCCTCTTGCTCTCTTCAACGTCTATTCTCATTTCCTGTGTTTGTTCTTTCTCTGCATCCACTTCCTTGTTCAGTTCTTCCCTTCCAATCACCTCCTCCCTTATTCGACTTTCAAGTTCTTCAGCCTATAATTTCATACAAAAATTAATATTGTCAAGCAAGAAAAATAAATAAATTAAGGATAATTATATGTTTACACTCAGGTTGAGGGTTAGACGTGGCGAGAAATATGATTAAAAGAAGAGATAAAAAATAAGCGTAAGAAAAATTAAAAATAAAGATATAAGAGTTGTTAAATTAATTCCTAAATGATAGAGTTAGTTGAATACTTAATTAATCCTGAACTAGAAAAGATTGTGTTTATAATCTGAATGTATAATTAATAAATTAAAGGAATAAACTAAGTATAATTCCGATTTTTTATACTATTTTCTAGTTAAAGTTATAATTTAACAATTCAAATAACAGAGATTCGCGTTTGTTGAATGTAATTTTAAAGAAAATTATAAATATTTAAATAATTATATTTAAATTTTATCGTATATTAATTTTTTTTAAGTCTTTGAACATGTGGCTAGTTTACTACTAAAATTTACACGTGAGGAGGTAATTTATTATATACATAGAACTATACAAGTTAATGTAGCTAGCTTTTTAGAAAAAAATAAATTAGTCTCTTTGTTGCTAATTGTTACAAATTATTCCCTAAATATGTATTTATTGGTCAAATTCAAAGACCATAATTTGATTTTTATCATTTATATTATGACTATTTATTAAAAGAGAAAAATGTTTTGCATGTGTCACCAAATTAACTGGTTTTTGAATATTACCCGACTATTGCATAAACAAATTGCCCATTCAGCTTTTGCGTGTCTCTCTATGTTATCCTTGGCTTCTTTCCTCTTCAATTGGGTGGTCTTGTGAGCTTCATTCAGCTTATTTTTCAGGATCTCAATTTTCTCTGCTGCCATCTGGGTCGGTCAAAAAGTTAGGCAAATGTTTGACAAACATACACCATGTGAAATAACAAAAAGGAAACAAAGGCATTTACATAAAAAGTGTGTATAAAAATTCAAACGTTACTATTAAATAACTTTTTGGGTCCAAAAGGAAACATAAAAAGCTAATCACTGATTTAGGACAAGATCCAGATTTGAAAATGGCTCCCATATCCTGTAACCTAAACAAACCCACAATTTAAAATGGTCCCATCAATTTATATTACATTATATATATCAAATGCTAAAAAGAGTCAAACTGAGAGATCTTAAAGGTTAGAAGATCACTATAATAGTGATGGCTAATTTAGACTTTCACAAACAGGTACCCTCTTTTTTAAAAGTTTACAGTGAAAAACACGCGCGCATATATATATATATATATATATATATATATATATATATATATATAATGAAATTGTGAGAATTAAAATTATATAATCAAACTTGAAAGTTATAATTGGGAGAACTATTTTCACTGTATAAGCTCTTTTGTATATTATATATACAGTGAAACCAATCATCTAACAACTCCCCAGAACAAACAAACGAAACAGAACAAAGAAGATAAATATTAGCATTAATCAAGGCCACATACTTGAGGAAAATATCTGGCATTGTTTAGTTACCATATTAGATTTGTCCCGTTCAGTGACATCTGGCTCAATTGGACTAATCCGTGAGTCGTCATTATCTTGCACGCAGCTTCCTTCCTCCAACTTCGAAGACAACAATTCTTGATAATAATTTTCAATTTCTTGTGCATGAAATTCCCATTGATTTTGGTTCCCATGAGACTCCAAATTGGTTGAGGAAAGAGATGCACTTCTATCCTGTGAATCACTGGTTTTGTCAATGAACAATTTGTCTAGCCAATCTTTAAAAGTTAACTTATCTCTCATCTTTGCAACCATGACTCCATGATCATCCTCCATTATTTTCTCATCATTTCTTCCCCTTAGGAAAACTTGTTTCCCTCCACAAATAATGAACAATTCACAAAAGGAAGGTTTATGCTGATGAACATAGAACAACCCACTGATGGCACCTTTTGATTTCCTAACAAGAAACAAAAGAAATATTAAGGAAAGTTATAGAATTTACCATGACTTGCAAAATTTTTCTAGAAGAATAAGAGCAAGGAAATGAGAGGGTACAAGGAGGGCTTCATGAATGAAAATCCCATGACCAATTTGGTTATTCCTAGACCAAAGATCAAGTCTATGATGCGCTTTTGCATAGGTTCATCAAATTTCTCAACTTCGAGAATCTCTGCTGGCACCTGTAATAAGCATAAACGACTAGTACTTCATTTCATTTCATATGATCCGAGCAATTGAAACAGTGTTATTAAAGCACTAAAATGTTCAAACCTTGCCACAGAAAGCAATATATTTGGAAAGCAACTTGTTAATTTTCTCTTGGTCATTTTTCCTGAGAATTTCTAGTTTCTCTTCATTCACAGATCTTGCTGGAAGTTTCCCAACTGCAACGGAATCACAAAAGTAAAACCCAGTTGAATTTCGAGCAAACAAAGGAAAAAAATAAAGCTTATACACAAGCCCAACTTACATGGTGTATAAACATACTCCTTGGAAATATTGTATGTCACATGGAGAATAACAACGGAAATTGGATGAGAATTCCACTTCTGGAGAACCCAATTCAAAGTCTTAAATCCATCCACCTCATCATTACCAACAGCAACATAGATTTTCTCTCTTTGGATTGCATCCATTTGATTGTTCCAAGCAACACAACTTCCAATCTGGTGGATCAGAATCAGGAAGAAGCAAGATCAATTCTAGTGAAATTCATATCACAGTACAAGTATAATAAGGTAAGTTCTGTATTGTGTGTTGAAAAGGCTTAGTGTGAAAATAACATTGTAAAAGAAAACAAAAAAGGGTTGCATATAACAATTTTCAAAGCTTTCTTATGCCATTTGCTCAAGTGTTTGGTTTAAACTCTATTATATTACAACTTTAATCGGAATTTCCAAGGGAAGGGTCGAAGGGGACGGCCAGCTTGGACTTTTGTGTATGGCGTGTCATGATTGCCAAATGGAACTGGGGTCATATATATGTATCATCCCCCCTGCCGTAATTTACATGACTCTACCAAGAACTCACTTTTGTTCTGTTCAGAATTATAAGAACCCTTGTGAAATTACTAGCTTAATATGAATACTACTCATTTTTGTTTGTTAATATGAATTATCATGACATGATAAGATGTAAGTAACTCGTTTCGTTTTCTCTCTATAATTCTCTTTTTTCATTTTTTATTTAAAAAATCTCACTTTTTCATGTCTTACAAAATTATTGCTTGCATAAATCTAGTATATTTAAATTATTTATTTTGTATTTAAAATAAATTATATTACCAACTTTAAGAAAAATAATAAAAGATACAATGCTTTTGTTATAAAGTAATCAAATCTTTATAAGTCCTTGGTTTTTATTTGAATGGATTAGATTTTTCTTGCTATTTTTTTAGTCAATGGAAAGCTATGAAACTCTGAAAAACAGAGAGACTGTTCTTCTTCTTCTTCTTTTTTTCTTGTCAGAAATCATAGATTAAAACAAGGCACATATTGTATAAACATTGTCCAGTGCAGCAAACTAAGCCCGGTGCTGAGTCTGTGATATAAGGACTAGTTGATGAAGTCCAAATGAAGTGGAACAATGCTGCTTTACAGTTTTTGTGGCTTTTCACTTTGCATTATGTCTTTTACATTTGGGCCGTGTTTGATACCTCTGCATGACAATACCCACAGAATTTGTGCACTTGATTGACACTTGCTAAACAATAACGTAAGATAGGGAAAGATTAAGTATAGTATTTGAAAATGATATATCATTTTAATAAGGTCAGGTTGTTAATAACAAAATTAAAACAAATTCAAAGCATTTTGCGAGCTAAAATTATAATTTTATAAGCTATTAATTTTTATTTTATTTTGTAACTTGTAACAATTTGGTAATTAATGATATTTTAATATTTGACTAAATTTAATAACGTGTATAAATTTTTGTTATTGATGAAACTCATAACACAAATCTTAGTACCATCTTATTTCAGTAATCAACAAGTGATGCAAATTTTCCAACAAGATGTGTTAAATGTACAGGAGTGTAAACTACCACGGTTAGAGTTAGCCCAAGTGGCTTGACTTGTGGAGGAGTGAATGCAAAGAAGTCTACCTAGTTTCGTCACATAGATATTAATTAATATAGATGAAAAGCATAATAGGAAATTAAATAATTTTTTTATAAAATTTAAAATTTTAATAATTTTTATATAAAACCGAAAATGTTCAAAAAATATATAATCGTATTAAATTTCATTATAATATTTTAAATTATATACTCATTCATTTATGTAAGGCTTAGGTACATTAGTTTGTTATGAGATAAAATTTTATTATTATAAAATAAGTTTTATAGATAATTTAAAATAAAGCTAAACGTTTAAAAAGTTTATGCTATGACTTAAAAAAATTAATAAAGACACATTTAATCCCAATATTTGAAAAACAAGTCACAATTATTTAAAATAAGACCAGACTAACCTAGTCTATTTTTGCCGTAGATTGATTGTCAATTTTATTTTCAATTTTTTAAGAGAGAAAACCCCATGGAAGGGCTACTTATGGCCACCACCTTTTCTCTCCTTGAAGACTTAATCACTCGACAATCCTCCATTGTTATTTAATGTTTAAAAAACGAAAAAGACAGATGATATCTACTTCAAAAACGAAAACAAGTTTGGCAGATGTGTATCCTCAATTTTTTTACTCCCATTTAAAACGTGACCTATGATTAACGTCGATGCTGTTTCTTCTCCCAATTCGTTCATCATATAAACATCTATTTTGATTTTAAAATAAATAAGTTGAAATCATTTTTAATTTTAAAATATATACTATATATATAGTTCCCATATTAAAAAAATGAACATGAATTTTTATAATCAATAGAGTATCATCGTTTTCTTACTTTAAAAATTTATATTACACTTTTAAAACAACTATCACTCTTATTCTTTTATACACATAAAATCAATGTAAAAGTAACCTTTGAACGACCAAACTCAGTTTATTATATTTTTTAATCACTGCATGTTAAATGGCGGTGTCGAGTAAGCAACAACTGTGATACATATCAGTTGTCATAATAAATTACTAATCTATACACTACTTGCTTTCCCCCATTGAGGTTCAGAAAAAGCTTTAAATTCGAGTTACAGCTTAGGCATGTCACGTGCATGGTGGGTACCACTTGAATTTATATAATATCATTAACGTGGCTATACACTAAAATTAACCGTGAGATTAATTTAAGGGGGGAAAGGGGTATATTAAAAGTAGATTAAAAACAGAGGGAGCAATAAACAATAGCAAGTTGAACAGTTAAGGCATGATTATGTTAGTACATGTCGGGACAAGGAAGTGCACGTGCGTCGCCGAAATCATCGTTGCTGCATTTTGAAAGAAAAGAAGGATGCGGTGCACGTGCCTCCTAGTCAATGGTCAAAAGCCAGGGCTTAATCTTTACATAAAGAAGATGAGAACGATGATTAGGATCCCTTGGTCCCTGTCTCAAGTTAACAATCTACTTCCTCATCATCACCGTTCAATAACTTTAATCACACCTCCATAATGATCAGGGGTTTCAAGAATCTCAATGATGCTAAGATCGTGTCTAGGTGGCACGAAGATAAGTTTTGAACAAACTTTTTCATTGTGGAAAATAGAATGGTAATATTTCAAAACAATCATTTGTTTTAATTTCAATCAAGCAATCTTCAATAACGTTTAGCATTTTAAATATATATCTATTGTTTATTACTCTAATTTTTATCTATCTTTACAGTTTTAATTTTTAGTTCTCATCCTTTCCTGTGGTCTAAAGATAGCTAAGGGTCGAACTTCAAGTGGCATTGTAGTTAGGCATACTTGCAAATTCGATCTGGTTTGGCTTAAAGACGTGTACTTGGAATTTTATAATGCTTCTCAAGTCCAAAACAGAAACCGAACTTGGTTGTTCAAAACTTTGATTTTATATTTTTTTACTTGAAAGGAAAAAAAAAACGACTGATACGATTGAGAGAAGAATTTGGTGCAAAATAGAAATAGAAATTGATAATGTGAAACAGAGAATCACGTTTTCATTTTGAATATTAAAAGTAACATATGCATACATTAAACTGTTCAAATTGTAGAGCAGAGGCAGTTTGCACATTCCTTTTGTCTGGGTGCACCACGTGTGATGTCACATGCCGTTTTGAAAGGGTATAGACAAGAACAAGCAAAGTTAGTCACCTCATTTGCAACTTGCAGGTTGCTGCGTCAAGAGAATCAAGAAGCTACCTACAAATTGCTCTAAGCTAGCAACTAATTGTGAACCTACACAAGTTCTACTCCCACTCAATTTTATGTTATATTCCCCTACAACTGTGTTAATTTCTGTGTAACTGTGGTATAAATTCAATAATCCATTCATCGCTTTACACTATATTCACCAAATTGTTACAGTTGATAGAGTAAGTATACAACGTTTAAATGTAATATCATAAATCTTTTTTAATCAAAATTTTTATTTTTAAATAATTTGCATATCTTTTTAATAGACAAGTTAATGAGATGAAACTCAAAACTTCAATAGAAAAGTATACTACATCTAAATTATACCCACAAACTAGTTAACGGATGAGAGCAATTATGAATTTGCGCATTTTGGGTCTTCGGTTTTAAAAAAATAAGCCCGAATCCAGCGACAATCGACTCGTGCTCAATCATAGCTCTGCAATATACATATATATTTTTGGTGCAAATTATAAATATGTTTTAATAGGTTTTTCTCTTATTTTCAGCGTGGGCTATTTGAAACTCTATATAAATCAAATTGTTATTGAATAATTAGATCGCGATTAATTATATTTTGCTCTTTCAAAAAAATATACTCAATTATTTAAGGTGTAGTTAATCAGCTGAATTCTCGTATACGTAATTACTCTACCTTTTTGTCATGTACTGTAACAAAAATTTGACAGAAAACAATTTTATTTAAATAAGATGAGTGATATAATAAAAAGTAAAGAAAATTAAATTATATTGTTTTATACAAATTTATTGCACATGTATCATTACTCTTTTTCAATAATAGGTACGTGCTCATGTATAAATATATTTTTGGTTTTTAAATTTTGTTTTTAAGCTTGACTAATTTTTTGAAAAACAAAATTAAGTAAACTTAATGTTGAATGACAAGTTTACATTCGTGTGACAATAATATGACAAGCATATTTGACGCTGATTTTAATTATAGGTACGCTATGCGACAAAGTTTTAGTCAATGTCCGTTCATAAGTATAACATTTTTTTCTAAGTTGGCTCATTTAGTCATGGACAACTCTGCATTGTTTTGTTTAAATTAAGTTACATATGAAATTCCTTTTCTTCAACCAAATTAAATAACAAATAGAGTTCGTATATGATCTTTTGGTATTTTTTAGTGAGCTCAGTAGAGGTAGCTAGGTTCAGTGAAGTTTCAACAACTGACGCTGTACTGCTTGTGCATGAGAGACAGGGAATGGTGTATTGTTAAAATACTCAATGTTGAAGTTAATATATATAGTACTATAAAATAAATTATACATCTGGTGACGTGTTATTTGTTATATCATGTTTTGGCAGTTGAAGATTTTGAGTTTACTAGAGATTACAATAAGTGTCTCATAATTGTGATTTTCTTAATGTAGTATTAAGATAAAGTAACTTTAAATTACCAAATTATATATTTAGATAATAATGAAAAATATTTATAGAATATTTATTCAATAATTTTTATGTCAAATATAATTAATTAAAATAACAATTTTTTTTAAAAAAATTATTTACTATACTTAATTTGCAAATATCATTTATAACTATTTTTATACTTTACTTTCACTTAAATTGTTTTTTATTATTGATTTTATATTCAATAAAAACTTTTTTTTTTATCTAAACACAACTTTATACAAGCATGCATAGAAAACACTA